AAGACATTAAACTCAATTATACTTTGAAAATATTATTCTTCATTGAAAACTTTGGCAGAATGTACATTTATATTTTTAATAGAAATTTCATCAAGAGAAGTTTCAGGGGAAGAAAAAATTATTAAATATTTCCTAAATATTTTCCTCGTCAAAATAAGCTGAATAACTTTTTTAAAAGTTTTTTTGGAATGTGATTGAGAAAAAATCTGCTATTTAAATACGTGGAAATATTAAGAAACTCAAAGACAAATAATAACTAAGTCCAAATAGTTGAACGCAGACAATAGTATACAATGTCAATTTGACCTATATACTCGTAACAACTAAAATTATGTTGTTGATCAAGTAAAGTTGACGATAGATCTTCATTTAAAATCATTTTGATTTTTGATTGTTGATGTTTATGTCAAACATTTTCTGTAATTTGAACCTTTTTTTTTTGTTTTTCAACTAATTTAATTAAAATATATTTTATGTCCATCAAATTTGAATAAATCAAAAATGAACCTTGAAATTATAACACTTATGAAATTTTATATACTTAGTTGATTTTTAAAAATATTTACGATAGACGTTAAAAAATTAAAAAACTAAAAAAATCTTTTTAAACAAGTTGTTGAAAACTTTAGCACCTAATAAACACAGACATTTAAATATCATAATAAATTTTAAACTGCATGACATTACTTCAAGATCTGACTTTTGTATTACTGCACTAGAATTGTGGATCAAATAATTAATTCAAGAAAACCATTAAGAAATGTTTGTAATCTAAATTTATTATCAATACTGGGTCTATATTTACTATTCCTCTAATTATGATTTAAATAATTATGGAATTATATACATGTACATACGTGTATAAATAACAACCTTTTAACGGAGTTTGTATCTTGTTTGTATTTTTAACTTGCGGTCAGTTAAAAATTCTATAAATAGTAATTAAAATCGGGGAAATTCGTTTATACTTTTGTATTATTTTTTTATCAACAATTGTCTATGAACAGAAAATAGTGTATCAATTAATTTCGAGCAATAAACGGAGTGGTCATTTAATAGTAAAAATATTATTTTCAAGTACTCATAATACGAGTATATGTACGAGTACTCGTATTATAATTCTGAATAAATTTGCAACATGTTTTTATTTGAATTTTCTATTTGTAAAAATCAACAGCCCATCGCAGCCACTATTTACTATTATGTAAAAGCATGATTAGCGTCTCATTACATTATGTATTATGTATGTCATGTAATATTGTTGTTTTCTTGAATTTCCTTATCATTATATGTACCTAATTATATGCGTTCCGGTCTACACTTGGTGTTTATTCAAGTTGTATACTTTTACAAAATGTACAACAAAAACCTAAAGTGAATTATCCATGAAAATATTTTTTTCTTGTTTTTGTTTTTTCAAATTATTAGTCATAGGTTTTTTATTATGTTTTTAAATTTCACCAAAAATATTCATAAGTTGCAACTAATGTACTCAACTTAATCCAAAATTTAAAATGCTATAAGTATGTGTATAACGATATGTGCTTTGATTTATTCAACCTTGAAATGCAATCTTGCATTTTTACGTTACTATGTTTTAAAATCTCATTTCATTTTTAGACTTGATTGTTTTTACTGTTTGGACATTTTTTATTGTTTTTAAAAATTATAATTTAATATACGAGTATGTGTGTATGTACGGAATTTAATGGATGCAATAGAGAAAGCAAAACTTGAACTTCATATAAAAATTAATTTTGTAATACTCGTACCAACTTTTACAAGTGCCTTTATTATTTTTACTTTAATCTCATATTGTTCTTAAAACAACCTTTATGAGTCATATAAGAAATGTCGTGGGTGCTGTTAAATCACATCATACTTTTGAAATTCATCACCAAATTGTGAAACCCCTTCATTATAATTTAAAAACCGTTAGTCTTTGATTATTTTTGGTGCACATGGAATTTATATTCTTGCATAAAATCTTTTAAATTACAAAGAGTAACCACATTTTGTCTTCTTTTTTGCTAAAATTATTATGTTTATCTTCATCTTATTAAGCTGTTAAAATTTTTTACTTTTTAACTAATCACGTTTTAGAGATACATTTCACGTTTAAGTTTTTGATTATTTGAAATTGTTTCATGATTTATTAAGAAAGAGTCTTGAAATAAAGATAACGAAATAAATTTGCAAAATCGGTTTCTTTTCAAATATTTGAATATAGTTCGGTATTATTGGTTTTATATTAGTTAAAGACATGCAATAAATTCCTTTACAATTTGTAATGAACCAATAGATTCATAATAAATAAATGCTTGTATTATATTTAACCAATTAACTTTATTTGTATAATGAACAGTATTCTTTGCAAGTATTTCTTGGTGCATTTGTTAAATTTTTTGGTATGGTGAAAATTAAAATACTATAGTAAGTTTCTCATAACTAAATACGACACGTTCTAATGATTTCATCAACTTGTTGTTAAACCAAACCGTTTCTAATATATTATACTCTACTATATAACACTGATATTCAAAAATATAGTTACAAATATTCAAATTCTAACTATTGTAGAGTTTTAGTCTTCATCTATTGAGATTTTATATTTAATGATTTTATATTATTTTTAACATTATATTGGGTGTTTCCATTGCATTGGATTAAATTGCAGCTAGTTTTGAGATTATTACAAAATTAATTAAAATTTGTTATATTTTTCTTCTATATGCCTGCATGCAATGTTTGTATGTGTATGAAAATTAAATTTTGCTATTTACATATGTATATTGCGTGGATTTACTGGTGTAAATGGTATAATATTTTCTTAAAATGACTTTAAAAGCTTGTATCCTTTAAAATGTTTTTCTTTCACTTTGTAAGCAGTTATACAAAAATTATTTTGATTGTGCTAAAATGCGTACTGCCACTATTTTTAAATTCACAAAAAAATTAAAATAAAAATGTGTATTTTTTTTTAATTTTCATTTTAGATCTGTTTTGTGGTTTCAATGTGCATAAATAGTTAAAAGATTTACAGAATTCTAATGCTAGAGAATGTGAGCATTGTGGAAAAATAATTTTATGTTTATATTTTATTTCAATCAAAACCTTAGGAAATCAACTTTATTTCTTCTGTAATACCAAAGATATATTCATAATTTTAACATTTGAATAGAACGAGTTCACATTTCTTTGGAATTTCAATGAATTTAATATTAAATTTTACTCTTTCAAAATTGAATTTCATACATTGATTTGAAGTGGATCTACTTTTCTCATTCTTGAAAACCTCATTAATAAGATTAATATATATATGTATTATGTTTTCTTTTGTATTATACAAAGGCAATGACATGTTAATTATTTCATGCTTCATAGGAACAGTTTTATGCTTTTTCAATTTAACTTTAACTAATAAGTCAAGGTACATACAGGAATTTTTTTTCAAATGACAAACTTAACTAACAACTGCTAATAGCAAAATAATATAACCCAAAACATACATACATATGAGTATATGTACGTTATATAGAAAATCAAAATTATAGTGTACAAAAATATTTTTACGCTGTAATTGAAACGTAAAATAAAAATAAAAACATATGATTAAATTACTCTATTTAAAGTAAAAGGAAGATAGTGAATAATAGGTAATTAAATTAAAATATATGTTTTGAATAATATAGTAATAATGATAATATAGATATTGATAATGAAAGTGAACCAAAATAAAAGGAGAGAATGAAATAGTTTCTTTTTATATCAACAAAAACTTAAAAATAAATTATGTAAACATACACTGGCTATAATTACTGTAGATATAAAAGTTTAGTTTGATGAATCGTGGAAAGAGTTTTTGAAAGAAAAAAATAGCAAACATATACTATAATATGTCAAATATGTTGAACTTTATTTTATTAAAAGATCTGTGAAATATGAAAAGTGTTTATAATGCATTTAAAGTTTAGATTTCAAATGAATTGTAAACAGTATAGAAGCTCCTCCCAGCTTCTCTGGGAATAATGCTCCGTATGAATTAGAATTTTACTCGTCGTATATAGGGGTACAATCGCAATTTTATTTATAGTTCATTTTCGTCCATCAAATAAAGTTTTTTACATAGTTATGTGTATATTTGTATAAGTCAAAAAACCAGCATAAAAATTGTATTTGCGGTAAAACTAGCAAATTTTATTCCCTAAGAGAAATTTCGTTCATTTTGATTTAATTGTATGCATAATAAACGCAGTGAGTATCTAATTTGAAACAGTTTGGGAATAACATTTTCGATTATTAATTACATTCATCTATAAGAACGATTCAATGCCTAAAGTATTTATTTTATAAAATTTAAAGGCAAAAATGCCACTACCTGATAGGGAAAGTAAAATTTTTAGTTTATAATTAAATAAATAATTTTGCTTGAAATTTTTAATGCTTAAACAAACTCTTTTTAATAAATTTTACTAAAGTGCTTGTTTGTTTACATTTTTTTTATCACAAATTATGCTTGCATATTTTCTTTCAAATCTTGTCCATTGTTAATTTTTAATTTTCGAGTACATTATTAATTATTTTTTATATATTTCCTAATAATAAACTGAAAGTAATGTTTTTTTTAATGTTACATACAATATAAAATTGTTATTTTAAAGCATACTTTAAAGAAATATTTTGCAATTAATTATTACACTACACAGTACCGTTATTCAGGTTGTGGACTTCTAAATTTATATACAAACATACATAACATGTACATGTAAATTCCACTTGCTGTAATAATAACAATCCTCTAATCTTACTGTACTTAAATTGAAAAACGAGAAACCAAATTACCAATAAGAAAAAAATTATTTATTTTCAATTATTAAATTTTTTAACTTTTTCTAATATTATACATGATATTACGAAACACCTACACATTCATATATAATTTCTATAATATTAAAAAAATATCAATAAATATTTCAAAAATAAAAAAAAAGTTATCTCACATTTTGCTGCTATTAGAAAAAATATCACAAAAAATTTTAACATTTTGTTTTTCTACTTTTTTTAATTTTATTTAAAAATTGCAATTTTTTTCAAAGTTTGTATTAAAATTTTACTTGATCTCGTTTCTAAAGTTTTCAATTTTTTTATGCTTTCTTTTACATATTGGATTTAAAATTTGAATTATAATTGAACTTAAATTTGTTTTAATTACAATTTTTTAATATGGAAACGAGCGCATTTGTAGTAAGCGAATATACTTATGTATATGATATTGAAAACGAAAGTCAGAGTCGTTACCGTGTTTATCACAAATATAATACTAAATAAAATTACATACCAAAACTTACTTGCACCACAATTCAATCGTCAATTTGATGTTTTTTTTTATTTTTATTTTCATTTTGCTTTAAATTTACTACTTTACCTGGCATGTAAATACTTATACTAAATAAATATGCATACACTCTTAACACATAATGTCTATACAAAAATATATTTACCCGTTTTACATTATGGACTGTGGGCATTCCCCTCTCAACATTTTGAAAGATCTCAAAAGTTATGAAAACATTTACAACTTTAAAACGAAAATAAAAACTGCAAATTATTATTAAACCATTCATGGTAGACAATTTTCTATTTTGTTACTTTGTGCCGTTATCTTTTTCGCGTTTTTAAAAGTTTATTACCCCACTATCTAACTGTTTTGGATAAATTGAGGCGGCGGCAGTGCAGCAATACTAAAATAAAAAAAGAAAATAACATAATATGTACAGTAAAATCCAAATTATTTTTAAAATTTTTGATTCGTTATTTGTTAATTTGACCAATTAAAATAAAAATTTAAGTGTCATAATTTTTAAATTGGCGGATTGGCGGTTAATGTACGTTTAATATATACATACATAAAAATCATCCTTGTTAGTTTAAATTTTTGTTATAGGAATTAAAACACTCATAACCAACAGTTGCTGACCCCCGACGTGATATGAACATGAACTCTCATTTGTTTTACCAATTTTATTACAAAATGTATGTGATATGAGCGAGTAATATTTCCAAATATCTTAAACAAAAAAATTATTTACAAAACTGGATTAATGCTGTTTTTATTTTTCCAATAGCTATGAATTAACATATATAAAAGCTATATTTTGCATAAAAAAGTATTGATTTTAGGGGAAGAAAAGTATATATGAATGGAAACCTTTTTTGAATGATGCACCGAAGCTAAAACCCGCGTCGTTCTGTAACTAGTCTCTGTTATAACTGATAACTCATGTTTATAGCGTTTATTATAAGAAATTTAAATTTACTTTTTGCTTTTTTAGGCTATTTGTTATTATTATTGGTTCTTGTCTATTTTTACAGGTTTTACTGTTAGCAATCGTATTTAAATTTATATACCTGCATATGCATACATATGTACATCTTAAGTATTTCATACAATAACAAAAAGATAATGGAAAACTTAAAAAAATAAAAGAGATTTTTTAATAATTTGACCATATGGATAACACACACTCATAGTATAAATTTACTCTCACTTTTCTCAGTCTGTAATTACAAAATACTAGTGACCTCGTTAACGTATACTTATACCCACTTATATGTAACATGTTTTTTTTTAAAAAACAAATATAAAGCTTTACTTTTTTGATATATACAGCTAAAATAAGAGACATAATAATGTCATGTTGTACTATATATTAATATGCACATAAACGTATTTTTTGAGTATTTTTTGCTAAAGAACCGGTAAGGAACAGGTGAAACGAAAACGTATATGAATGTATGTTCAAATATAGCATCGAAATATAGCATAGAAAAACAAAAGACCTTGCAATCAAAAATAATTAATTCTATCGCTTTATTTTAGTATGTAATTAATGGGATCGTAATTTTGTTCGATTTTTTGCTTCTTTTTTTTTGGAATTACGATAAAATATAATAAAAGTCTGATATTCATAGAGCAGTGGCAACTCCAATTTTTTATGTTTTATGACAACTTTTGTGGGTTGTGGGTAAATATGTACTCTGAGGCTATGAGTATGAGCCACTTGAATTAATGTAATAAATTACATTAATTACATGAAGAAATGACAATTTAAGCTGATCGTTTTGTTTTTACAAATAATAAATTTGTATTGAGTTTTATGTGCCTAAATACATACATATTAATTTTATCTGTGATTGAGTTCTTAAAATTTTTCCGAAAAATTTTAATAGTCGCAACAGAACAAATTTTTTTCTTGCTAGCAGAATGATGGACCGTATTTTGAAGTTGATTGGACCGCACTTTGGCGACGGCTGTTTTATGATATTTATTAAATTTGAAATTTTTATATCCTTTTAAGCCAAATAGAACAATTCAACAGTTTGTATACAAATGTCCCTTATAATAACATAATGAAGTCAGTCCAAAAAATATTCTTTAGTATGCAACTTTTTAGTTGATATACATAGATAATTTTTCACGCAGAAATATTTAATTTAATTAGACAAAAAAATTATCCTCTACATCTGTTTTCTTCAAAATTAAGATTAATTTAAATTTCCTGGAAAACCGGTTTAATTTTGGAACTAGCCTCATTAAAATTATTTAAAAACAAAAATATGGAACTTTATGAAAAATGTCGTATTTATATCTTTGTAATATTTGTACATATCTTTGTAATATTTGAGTTATTTAAAATGTTAGGTTTGCATTTGAATATCTAAAATGATTATAATAGTAATGATATTCAAACATTCCTAAATGCAACGCTTTTTAAGAACGTCATTTAATACTCTTCCAAAATATATGCAATAATTTTCATCTTCAAATTTTAGTCAATATTGATCACTTTGCCTTCGACTGACCATGTTTAAGAAATATAATATTTTAAAATTTCATTTTTGAAGTTACTTTTCATTCTTCAAAAATATTTTGACCAAAGGTGGTTGAATAAAAGTTTTTTGTCTTGGACTATGGCGTCACACAGAATGAAACCATTATCTGGGACAACTTTTCAGCTGCATTCCTCGATACGATTTTAACAATATTGTAGAAAAATGTTTTTTTTATATCACTCTTCTCTCATTGATCATTTCTTTTATTTTTATTAAAAAGAAGAATAGATAAAATTAAATTTTTAATTATTATTAAACAGTTTATAGTTAAACAGAAATATTGACAAGTTAATGTTTTATTATAATATGATTTCGAAATTATTTTGTGTCGCATAGTAGCGCAACCCCTCTTAACGTCCAATGCTCTGGTTCTTTATTTGTTAACAGCAATAATGGCGCTATGTAATTTAAATCAGTTCTAGAAAGCTTCTTGTAAACTGGACACTTAAATTAAATAATTTTATTTTAAGTCAGTTATTAAATCAGTTGTTATCAGTTTAAACTTTTTACTTACTCTATACGCTTTAGGGTCAATAGCTGCTGCCAAATTATCTGTTGCGTAAACCCAGACAACCGGCATTAGTACATATAATACTTTATTTGTTTGTTCCACAAGTTTTGCTGATCTTATATCCCAACCAGCACCATCTAAATACATTCCATGTATATAAACACCTTCTTTTGGTGGTTTTTTGTATTCTTCTTCAAAAAGTTTAGTAACTTCGTTCATCATGGCTATTTGATCTAAAGCCCATCCTTTATGAGCTCGTGCCACTTCTTGTTTCATAGCAGTTAAAAAGCCCTGTGGATTGAAAAATCCAGACATCCAAAATGTTATTGGTCGCCCCTTAAATTATTAAGATTTCAGAATATTTGTAAAAACCTTTTTTTTTTTAAATTTATTATATTTACAACGAAAGCCCAATTATAAAATTGCGTATATCGATTTATTACTTCTGTGAACCAAAAACCAAGTGTAGACGACGCCCAACTAACTTTTCTCCAAGATATTGGAACTCTTGCATTAAATATGTTATCTACGGCATCTTGCAATTGTTCGCTCATAATAATCGTACCTTCTAGTGCAAGTAATATATCTTTTAACATTTTTTTTACCAAAACGATAACCTTTTAAGAAAAACATTTGCTCCTATAAATTATTAAATTTTTTATTATTAATCTATTAACTGTACCTTTTGCATTCTATCTATTTCTTGTTTCAAGAAAATATTTAAGGAATTTAAAGCACCCATTAATTTTAAACGTTCTTTCACTTCATTTAAATCAAAAGGAGCTGGTGACTTATTCAACATATCCAATGTTAATCTAGCAACTTTCTCCTCTCTTGTTTCTTCGGTGCCAGATGACAAATCTTGTAAAAGATATATCTAAGTATACAATTATTTGAAAAACTATAATTGTTTTACTAAAGAAAATAGTATCAAGTCGCATCGTAATGTTAAAAGTAATTTAGTGTAACAGCAATGTGTTGTGAATATCAAAGTAGATCATCCTTTTTTTCTTATACACTTATTGTATATCGGAAGAGATTTTTTTGGAGATTAAAAACTTTCTCGTCTTACGAAATATTTAAGAAAGAGGAATAGATTAAAATGATCTCACAAAATTTTTCTAGGTTTGCTTTGTACAACCTGTGGCATTTTCGAGAGAACGTCAAGCCATTAAGTAATACAAAGTAATACAATTAATGCAATACAAAAGTAAAATTAGTACTTATATTGCTAAGAAATAACAACAGTTGCCTCGCTCTTTGCATTTACTGAAAATAAATTTTAAAGTATCAAAAATATTTTTGTCTTACCTCTAGGTTGAATTGAAACGATAGCATTTAGAATAGCTTTTGAGTAATTTGTTTGATAAGTTATATTTGCATTAGAATGTAAACCATAAGCTTGAGGTGGGTCAGATAGATTCATTGATTCGATCGCTTCCAAATATTCTTCTTGTGTTTTAAACACAAGTATATTATAGCCTTTATAGAAGCAGAACGTTTCATCAAACAATTTATCAGAAAACCATACTTTGCTAAAAGTATTGAGTAAAAATTTATCATAGTCATCAGTTACTCTACCGCCGTATTGAACTTCCCCCAACATGTAACGGACAGTTGACCAACTAACACCTTTTTTTGGATCAATATCTTCTAAATGATTTTGTATGAACAAACAACTAGCTAACCAATCAGCAGAATTAAATTCATATGGTATATTCCATCCTAAAGGTCCGAATTTCCTCCGTTCCTGTACAACACTATGTAAAAACGAAATTGCAAATACTAATGGATGATAAAATAGTGATTCATTTGCATCTAGAAAATCTTGTGACAAATTTGTATAAGTTCTCTTCAATCCCGCTCGTATACCGGATGGTGGTTCATTAGTAAACTTTAATGATATTTGTAACATTGAAATAGGGAATTTTGAATGAACTTCTGTGGTTATCCATATTCGAAAAGTGTCAATCGGATCTAATTTTCTATTTTCACATTCAACTATTAAATTGGAAAGTTCGTTCATATATGCTAAACCTAAATGACAGTTCTGTAATAGAAGCCAACCACCTTCTTGAAAACAGTTTTCAAATAATTTTCGAGCATGAATTTCTTGCCCTTGTCCCATAGATATGGCATAACATTTAATTTCATTCTTTTTTGCTAATAGCTCTATATTATTCGATGGATCAGAGCCCATTGATAAAAAACAGATAATGGGAGTAAAAGCTCTGCTTTCGACATAGAGCTCGTCGTAATTCAAGATAATTGGAGCAGCGAAAGATGGACCTAAGGAGTGTGCTATATATTTTCTTGCTTGTGAAAGTGTTCTATCTTGACAAAATGCTCTTATAAGTAAAAGTTTTTTAAAGGGATCAATGTTACTATAACCATCTGGAATAGCTTCATCTTCAGGATTTTCTTTCTGAAACCAAATACGCCAATTTCGTTCATTATTTTCAACTTGAATCAAAATATTTTGAAATTGTCGTAAATTTGATAGCTGGACTAAATTCAACCACATTTCATCTGTTATCCATTTATGTGGTTTACGCGGGCAATCATTCAAATTCAATGCAGCTCCACCTTTTATGAAATTCTGAAATTCATCATATTTCACTACACCACTGTTTTGGTCAATAATCAAAGCCATTAATAAAACATATAATGGTTTATCTTGTTCATACAATGATCTTGATTTATAGCGATAAATTTCATAAGTCAACTTCCGTAATATACGGTTTATGCGTTCTAATAATACATGAGTTTTCTTTGCATTATGAAGAGACCAATCAAATCTTTCCAAAAATTGGCCTAATGATGTTTGATACATACAATTCACCATTGACATTTGACAAATTAAGAAATATAAAAGACTACCTCGAGTCGCTACTGGTCGGTATTCTTCTCTTATATTATTAATTTTAACTTCCGTGACTTTAGCGACCTCCAGTTTTTCTTTAACTTCAACTGCAGTCGTTTTACTTTTATTTAATACTTCAATAACAGTAACATCATCTAGTAAACTACCTTCAGTAGTTGATAATTTGTGCAACAAATCAATTTCCAGTTGCTTAATCTTCTTCATATTATCCGTCACTGTTTCAACTAAAGAAATTCTTTCATCTTCTAGCTCTTTCCTCTCAATTAAGATAACTCGACCTAACAATTGATCTTCAAGACCCTTTAATGTAACTGTGAAATCAACAATTGAAGCTCTGGCAAACATTTCCGGTGTAAATAGAGGATTTGAGAGTGTAGTTGTCATATATATTCTCATATCTTTATTGTAATCAACTTCTTTATCACCAATTTTTATTTTATATTGCGTACCAACTTTTATCAAATTTCGATCGAGTACATTGTCCAAGCATGGATCTAAATCTTCATTAATGTCTTCAATTAATAATGGAATCCCGAGAGAGACAGCGTCTTCGATATGATTACGGAAGTATTTGTTATTTAAGGATGTTACAATTAAATTATTTTTCTCCTCTCTATTTTTTATCCAAATTTTACCTTGACTTTGCGGGTCTATTAATAATGGAAAACGTGCTGATTTTGTAGCGATAATTCCATTTTGGACTGATAAATCGTCATTTGGTAATCCTTGCAAAGTCCATTCACTTATTTGAGCTTGATCTGTCAAGGATTCTATAATACCTACATTTGAAGACATAGGAATTTTTCTTAATATTAAATCATTTAACCATTCCTGTTGTAATTCGGCACGATATTGCTGATTAAATGGCCCGGCGTATGATAAGAATGCTGTAAGATAGAGTACATCACCAACGAGACGATCTTTTTTACTTGAGAATGTTGCAATTTGTTCAGTCCATCGTATTTTTTCACCACCCAAACCTTCAATTAAAGCTGTTGCAGCGTTCATTTTATTTTGAACAAACGAAGCTTCAGCCATAACATCATTTTTCTTTTTTATAGCTGCATCCAATAAACATTGTACCTCATGCAACTCCTTTTCTTTTGCTTTAAGTTCTTCTTCTGCTTCATGTAAATCAAACATAGCCTTGTTATACTTAGCTTCTTGAATTGCTAGATTCGCCTTCAATGGCAGAACATCTTTATTAACACCATAATAGTCTTTCATTGCTATTGTCCATTTTAATAAGCCTGCAACATTACCACAAGCTATCTTTGCAGCTTCGAATGTATACAAACTAAAATGTTGTGTTTTAAATTTAAGAATTTAATTAATAATTTAAGTAAATTATTAAATTCAGATTTACCTATATGAAAAATAGGGTATTAGCAAATCTATCATTTCTGCATTAATGGTATCGGTAGCATATTCAACGATCTTGGGTAAAAACCTTGTGTCAGACATTACCTTCAGCGAAGATTTCCAAGACGGTATTAAAAATTTCTTTTCTTTATCCGGTTTAACTCTATCTAAAGGTTTTCTAAACAATATGCAAACACAGTCCATAATCAATGTAATAAGATATGGAGGTTTTCCAAGCTTTCTTACAGTGGCTATATCAGCAGCTTTTATTGTCTAAGAAGATTTAATATATATTAATAATATGTTAATAAAATTATGTGAAAAAAGTTGAAAATTAAATTGCATGTAAATAGAAAAACGAATTACATTCAAGGCTGATTGAGCTTCTTCAAGTGCCGGTTTTGCAACTTCTAACTTTTCTTCAGCAATTGCTTTATCGGCTGATATTATTGTGACCAGTTCTTCAGCGGATTTTTTTTTCTGAGATACTTCTGCTTTTACTATTTCAGCCGCTTCACTAGATTTTGTGACTTCTTCTAGTACTTTATTAGTATCAAGTGTCGCCAATTCAATAATTTTGTTCATTTCAATTAAATCAATTTTTAAACTCTCAACAGATATTGCCGCTTCATCAAGCTTATACAGACCAGAACTCATTCGAGTTGATTGCATTTCAATATCACTCTTCCCTTCATCATACATTTCACGATAAGACTTTAAAAATGATATTAGGGATTTTGGGGTTACAAAAGTCGATCTACGAAAACGATCAAAATATTTGACACATGCTTGTGTTACTGATTCATGTATGAAACTCATTTCATTGATTACTTGAAATTTCACTTCATCTGTGCACACTAGCTGAAAATCTTTTAAATAGTCATTCGAAACTGCAATACGAGCATCTTCAGGCCATTTTTGAAACCAATCAATTGTACATCCAGAAACTAATCCCGGAAATTTTAACGTTCTGGCACGTAATTTGTCACCAATCTAAAATATAAATTTGAAATATTTGCATTTTAGAGATTCGTTTTTTAAGGTGAGTTAGAAAATAAAGATAAAACTTTCTTTCGAAATCAATTGAATCCTAACACATATTATAATTTTGTGAATTATGCAAAATGCAGTAAATTATCAACTGTAAAAAAAAAACTTACAGGAGAAAAACATAATGCTATATGTAAATTAAATCGGGACCTGGAAATGAAATATTCATATAGATTATCTGCAGTAGGCGGTCTTTTTGGAAATTCTTTTTTCATAGGCAAAGTCAATTCGTTTGTGATTCCATCTTTAAATAAAAGGCATATCAATTAGAATAAATAAGAAGTTAAAATTAATTATTGAAGCAACTGTTTTTCATACCCAACTCATCTTTTGAAAAAAGGTTAGCAATTTCACCAGAACTTAAAATATTATTAATGTATTCCAAAAACCCTTCATCCTTAATTTCATTGTCAGTAAATATGAATGTAATACCCTGGCCTAACACTCCAGCAATTCTATACAAAGATTTTAAATCCTCACATAAGTTAGTTGCATTATACGCTCTGGTCAAGGTTATTTGAAAAAATTTATATCCAGCAATGAACGATGCTAATCTTGTTATACTTTGTTTTCCAGAACCACCTACTCCAACTAACAAAGCATTGCCCCTATTTACAATTAAATTATGTTTAATTGTGAAAATACGATTGTTTAAATTGTTCAGTACAACAATAAAAAAATATCAATTATGCGTTAAAGTTCAGTCGTTTCCAAAAACAAGGAATTTACTAAAATTTTTCATAATTTTTACCTATTCATATTTTTTTTAGTCATAAGGTTGGAGCTTAAGATTTTTAAAGAAGTAATTAACGAATTTTAAAAAATAGCAACAAACTAAATTTCTCTTTAATATTCTTAACACTGGAAAAATTGTAATAACCTATACGTTACTTATATTATCTTATAATACTTTTTTAATCTTTAAATTTAGTAAAAATTAATGGCAAATCGATGTACCCTATACAAAATAACTACATAACAATAATAAAGCTTAATTACGAAAAAAATTTATCTAAAAAACTTAAAACACTTCATAAAACATTTTTGAAATTGAAAAAGGGAACTAAAGACAAAAGACAGGATTTGATTTTTCAAAATTAATGAAATTAAGACAACAAATACGTGAGTATAGTTGTTGAGCTTTAACTAGCTGAGCTTTAAGTAGCTGCTGAGTAGTTGTTGAGCTTTAAGGGCTCAGTTTTTTAAGAGCTTTAATTTGATAAACAGAAGAATTTTTTAGAACAGAAGATTAAGCAATAATTTTAAGAAATTTTCTTAATACCTTGTATTTTGAAAGCTTTGAACTAACTCACTTCTTAACAACAATTTTAAACATTTTCAGTTTTTTAAATAGTTTATACTCGTAATGTTGTCCATTTCATTTAATCCCCCTTTAATTAAACATTTTACCTTGGCATCCTTATTATCCTTGAAACAATCATTAAATGCTTTAAGCAGTCATGAAAAAATACAAGATCTAAAGAAAATCCTCTAATATTTTCATTGAATTGGTTCATAAACATTTTAACTCTGTTCTCCACCTCTTCATATCTGATTAAAGAAATAATTAAAGCAAAATTATAACTTCCTTTAGTTTTTTCATAATTCTGTAAAAATACCCAGGAATTTCTTCATAAATTTTTGGGGCTTCTAAGCAAACTTCTTCTTCTTCATCAACTGCTTCTGGAGGATCTCTTAAGAAATCAACGAAGTAGGTTTCGGTATTGTCGAAATATTCGAATAAATCACCAAGATTAGCTTTAGCATCTCTTTCAATTTGCTTTTCGAACCATTGAAAGTCTTCAATAGAAGTGAATCTATCCGCCATGACTCTGTAACATTCGTGTCTCCACAACTTAAAAATACAGATTTTTGCTAGAATAAACTTAGCTTAATTCAGTTATTTCCATTTTACCTTTAATAAGTCGTCAACTTCGGTACATTCGTTTCCTTTAATCAATAACATACCTTGCCAAATGCGAGATAAATCTCTTAGATTAAAAACATAGTGAAAATTTGCAGGTGTCGGTAACATTTTCATTTTTACATTTTGCCACAAAATTCTTGTCAATGGAATCAACAGCGGTATAACTTTTACAATTACTTTATTGAAACGTGTTTCTGAAAAATAACCTTCTCCAATTTTTCTAAAAATTTGGTCCATTGAATTATTGCTTGGCAACGTACAATTAAATATACAAAATTGTCTTTTTAACCGGTTCGGAATATCATTTCGACCACCGCCGGGATGAATCATGGCTGCTACTATCAGTATGTCTAACACATTAATAAAATCACCTAAAATATTTAGAATATACTTTTTTACTAGTTCCAGGTGCTATTAGATAGTAGGTATTCTAAAAAAAAAGACCTGGTCGTTCCAACGAATAGAAGCCTCCTTGTTCTATCATTTGTCTAACAATCTCGTTCGTAATTTGATCCCCCCAATCATTTACCATTGGCATATTAATATCATCTATAAATACTGTCATTTTCCTTTGTCCAGGTGGTCCATAAGACAAGCCTACTCTCTTCTCAATATATGATTCAATAATTCTCTTTAATTAAAAAATTATTTAATAACTTTGCGCTGTAAATCTTTAAAATATTATAATACTTACTTGGTACATGTTAGGTGATGTCTCAGATGAAAAATTAAATGATTTTATTAAATGTGAATCGGGATCATATTTGTTCATAAAACCTTTAATCATAACGGTTTTAGCTGTGCCTTGTTCACCAATCAATAGAACTTCTTTTTCTTGTTTAGCAATAGTTTCAATTAGAAATGCAGTTCTTATATTATCCACATTTGGTACCAATATACTGGCAAATTCAGGTATTGAATCTTGCGGATATTTATAATCTTCAATTTTTTTTGTCCAATGCTGCCAATTACCTTGCTCATCTACATAATATTCAAATATGGATGTGTCGGGTGAAAGTTTTGGCCATCCTACACCAATGAAATTAAAAATAATAGCAGCGGTTTAACAAAATTTTAAAATAAGTGTTACTTAATCTGGATGGATGTTTATTAAAGTAACTTTCTAGTTTCTGCCTTTCATTCAATTCAAGTGCAGCTCCCAAGCTCCACATGACAGCAAATAAAAATATTCTTTCGAAAAATTTTTCAGTATTATTATCTTCAAAAAAATATTAGTTAAATTGAAACATAGATTATAACTAAACAGTTATTGAATAAATTCCTACTTTGCTCTAATAAAAGCCCATCTAATATTGCTAGCGTTTGTCTTATGTAAACCGCATCAAGAATTTTCATTTTTGAAATTAATTTCTTTTGTACAAAAGAAAGTGTATCATTGTAAAGGCTATCAAAGTATTTCTGAAAAATTGGAGCTTTATCATCTCGATTATTAATCCAAGCTAAAAAAGCGTAATTTCAAAATAAATTTTAAAAAATATTCAAGATTAAAAGTTTACCTTGTGCATACACATCCCAACTTAACACCGATGAGCTTAAGAATACCATACCCATTCGGCTTACTGTAGCTGGAGATGCATTGTCAACATTATCTGGCTCGAAAAGTAATTTACTATTTTCAGCCATTTTAATTCGATCACCGTTAGCTAATGTTAATGTTTTATTATCATCGAGAACTGAATTTAAATTTTCAATCCAAACAGCATCAACAGGACCATCCAAAACCAACCAACAATTTTCAGACGTTTTAATTTTATGAGTTCGCCTCCATAAAGTTGAAAAAATTCCATCGGTCCAATCATTTGTTGCTGCATCTAAACGACCAAACATTTGTGGTGCTGTTATTGCCTATTTGAAAAAAAATTAAAACGTGACTGCACAAATGTACTGACGTAACTAAGTCACCTTAGGGTTCATTCTCATTTCTTTATGAAGTTTTCCCATTTCTGTAAAACTTTTTAATAGAACATTTGTACAACTGGTTTTTCCAGACCCAGTTGGCCCCATCATCATAAGACCATGTCTAACTAGCGAAGTTTCATATAATTGAATTACTTTTAAATTCCATGAAGGAGAATTTACATAATTTAATAACTTAACATTTGCAGATATTGCCTTTTGTAAATCCTTGTACACTGCTGTTGTTAATTTTATTCCCGGAAACATATCATCAATCAGTGATAAAAATAAACCTTCATCCTCGTCAATTAATTTTGATACATTCATATCTCTTAAAACTCTCATTACAATAGTTTCTTCCGTATCTTTTTGATTTGCACGTTTTTGAGCTCCCAAAGTTCTTAACACAGACAAAATATTCCTCAAACCAAAATCGTAGTGAACCTGTTTAGACAATTGTTCTTCACACAATTTATATAGAGTATAAAATTTTCGTGCTAATATAACATTATTTCGAAATCCACAACTGGCTAATTTAACTCTCATAATTATTTGCCGATCTGGTACCATCATAGCAACTGTTCGAAATTGTATTTTTAGATTTTCGGGTAATTCCTGCCGGCCTGCATATCCTGGATTCATAGTAATTATAAGACCGAATTCAGGATTTAAGCTCACTAAATCCCCATCGCTGAATAAGAACGTTGTTTTTTTTTCTTTTTTGGCTGTTAAAACAATACTGAAAAAGGTAAATAATTACATTCAAGAAACTTACTCAGAGTGTAGTTTAAGAAAAATCGCCTTAAACTTACTTAATTTGTTGTGCTGCCACTGAGAGTACTGGCAATTCAATTCGATTAAATTCATCAAAACAACCCCAAGAACCTGATTGAGCAATACCTTTATATATCCTACCAAGACCACGAAAATCCATTTGATCTGAACAATTAAACACTACAACATATTTTCCTAATGCTTTTCCCATATCTTTTGTAGTTTCTGTTTTGCCGGTTCCAGCGGGTCCAGCTGGAGCACCACCCATACACATCCCTAAAATTTCATAATATTTAAATTTAAAATTGTGAACTAAGTATTTGACAAAAAATTACTAAAACTTTTCCATTTTATAAAAAACGAAATGGAGTTTGATATTTAATCTAGAACCTCGAAAAACAAAAACAAAATACATACATGTGTAATTTGATTTCAGTCTATATCTTTATTACTACAAATATCAAAATAAAACATGCAATTATTCCTATACATACATACAGACACAGTTGTATGGCATATAGACAACTGTGTAGCTTCAAATTAGACCTTCAAAACACATATTTACTAATTAAATATTTAGTACTACAAAAAACGGAAATAAACATAAAATGTAGGTACACAGATAATGAATTAAAATAAAAAGACAATTGTAATGATTAAATTTGAATTTTTACTGAAACAAAAAAAAATCGTTAAGGGTTTTTCTTGTATAATTTTAATTATTTTTTGAATATATTGGAAATAACTGACTAAACTTACCCATAGCTTGTGCTAGAGATATATAGCACCTATCAGTTAAAGGGGTGATGGCTAATCGTTCAACAACACCAAGGTATTCATTTTGATAAATGAAATTAACATCACTTATTCCTACAATCACATCGTCGTTATTTTCATAGTAATAATAACGTGCCTGTTTTTGCCATTCAAAATCTGTTACAAGTTTGATTTTCATACGTACCAAGTCATCAAAAATGTCTCTAATTGAAGTGAAAATTTTTTTAAATGATTATTTCAAAATCAACATCATAAAGAAAATTTTTTTAAGTTGCACTCAAAAAACCTAATATTGATATAAAAGAAATTTGCGAATAACATAAAAAAGTAAAAAATTAAATATAATCTATTGAATGGAAAACGCTCAAATACACTTGTTTGCACTGCGATTACAAAATAGTAATAAAAAACAACAAAATTGCAAAAAACAACAAAACGACATTTACCTCTGATGAACATGTATGGTTACCATAGTTTCAAATTTAATTCTATCTAATTTTGATAAATCTTTAACGGTAAGGTCAATAAGAGCATTTAATAAATTTAAAAATTTCATATTAGTTCTTTTCATTATAGTTTTATCAATTTTAGTTTTTCTCAAAGCTATTTCGGCATCTTTTGTCCACAATAAATTTACACCTAGTAAACCAGCCTGGCCACACCAACCTTGAAATTCCTGAACAAAATTAAAATCTGCAATATTGAGTTGAAGAGCCACACCAGCTAATAAAGATTTCATTGTATTTTGCATTTCTTTTAGTAATTTTCCAATCCAGATTTCAACATTACCAGTACAATGAACTGGATTTTCAAATAAAACTTTCTCGTGATTAGCTGAGTTCATCGCTATTATTATATTGTTACTCTTTTCTTGAAAATCTACCTGCAATAATAGGTATAATTTTCTGGAGTATTTTAAATAACTTAAATATTTACATAAGCCATTGCATCAAACAAACTTAATAAATGAGATTGAATAGTTTTAGGATTAGAAGCTTGTCCCAAAATTTCTAACAACACAGGATCTGAAACAAAGAAAAACCTTGGGAACACAAGCCTTTTTGTTTCTAAATAACCTAAAAAATGGACATTTAAAATTTGCGCAATTTTTAACACGTAAACATCATGTTACCAGTCAAAGACTTTTGACACGATTCCAATTGTTCAAGAAGATAAGAAAGAATATTTTCTAAAGCTTCATCGGTTGTGCAATATTCTATAACGTTCGACGTTTCTCTAGCACGCAACATTATTCTTACATAGGCTTTGTCAATGTTTCCAAAACGTTTTGCTTCCATTGGTAATTGCCTTGATATATCACCACCAACAAATACAGCTTCTAAATACATCCACAAACTTTGTACCGTTAACCATTTCTCCAATGTTTCAGATGTTTTCACTAACTTGGAAACCCAAAGTAAGATTTCTTTTTTAAATGGTGCATTATAACGATTTGTTGCTAATGAATTCATAGCCATAAGATCATCTTCAATAGCTGTAATAATATCCATTGTTTCTGCACCTTTTAGTGCCAAATCTCCACGTTGCTTAAAAGGCGCAAATTGTAAATTTACATTTGTCCAATTGGCAATTACTTGTTTCAATTTAGCTTCAATATCTAATTCTTTAATAGCTGCTATACAAATATCTTCAACGTCTTCCGAATTTGCCAATATTGGTGCATCCATAATTCTACCAAGTGTTAGTTTAGGATCTTCAATATTAAAATTTGTTTTGAGAATATTATTTAAATGTTTCCAATGTCTTGGTTTCATTGCTTTATCTGTCATTCGTTCCAAAAGTGGGCACGTTTCAGTAAAATCATCAACTTTTTTTTTAAGATCTATATAAGCAGGCCAACTCTGCATAGCTCTCGGCAATTTTCGGCATCTAAAATTTTAATCAAATGAAAAAGAAATTTAATGACAATCAAATATCGTTTACATTACAAATTGAAATTGATATACAACTACTTGTGAGTGTCTATATTAATGCATAGATACCTTAATTGAAAATCAGCTAATTCAGTTGTCATGGCTTCAATATCTACAGCTGTCCATCGCATTTCATAATAATCGTCAATGGTTTTGAGCACACTCAAATATAATGAGTATAATTTTGTTAAATAATTAAATTCCCGTTTCTTAATTTCTAGTACTGGGTATGAAGATTCTGGCAAACCAAATAATTTTTCTCCGCTAGCGTACATCTCAAATTTTCTATATAAATCATCAAATCGGGCTTGAAAACTAAATGTTCTGTCACTAGCCTCTTTTGCTGTTAATCCAGGAATCATAGGTCCTTTATTTTCATAATCCTCATTGAATTGATTCAGTTCAGCTGCAAACGTTGCAATACCAGTTTCCAATTCAACTTGTAATATACTGCTCATTTCAGCAACTCTACTTGAAACTGACTTTGTCTAACAAATTTGCAAAAAAGTGAAATAATTAAAAAGTTTTTTTAAAGATTTTGATTATTTAGTTCTAAAATTATTTATCAAATATATGTATATGATCTTACATGCTCCAACATTAAATTGTATCTGATTCTTAAGCTATCAACTTTATCATAATCATCCTGTCCAATATTTATTTGGAATTGTGTGAACAAATCATAAACATCAACTATAAGATTAAGTTCAAATTCCATTCTGAAAAAAAATATTTAACAATTTTTATATTTTGTGATAAAAATGATAACTCAATCTAACTCACTGTAAATAAACGTCTTCAACCCTTTCTAGATAACGCATTACTAATCTAACATCATCTAAATCTTTTATGTCTTTCACTAAGATAATGTCAACTTCTTTAATAAATTCAATCATATTTTCCAGTTTCCTTTTGTATTTGCTACTTAAAAATTTTCCAAGTATTTTCTTCCACTTCTTTGATTGTTCCCAGCAAAATTTTATAACTTTGTCTAAAAATGTTAGATAGATGAAAGATATACGAACAAAACTACGAACACAAGGACTTGTACACCTCCTACTCATTTCTTAGAATGGTAAGTAACCTTATTACTATATTTATGAAATTCGAACCGCTTAGTTAGAGTGAGTTTCGCAATATAACCATAGATGTCGATCATAATATACATAGTAAGTTATTATATAATAGTGAGATTCGGAATATAACCACGCCATCTATAGTATAATAGACCATAGATGTCATACAGATGATAGCAGAATTTCGGATAGAAAAAAACTAAATTAAATCATAGATACAATTATCACAAGCATTTTAAAATTTCAAAATTTGGAACAATAAAATTATGTACCTTTACGAATTTCTATTGGTCCAATATAATCTGCTGTATTAGAATTTCTTATTTCCTCAGAAATTCGTTCATATTCTACAAATTTATCACGAATTGTAACGAGTAATGGATCCTCTTCAACAAAATTGAAAATTATTTCATCTCGTTTGGTATCCCACAAGAACTTATGCTTTTCAAAAACATTCTTTTGGAAAAAACAACGAAAAAAAGGTAAACAATATTTAATAAAGTTTCAAAAAAAATTTTTAAAAATTTTTTTAATTATTAACTGTTAAGAGCTCATCAATATCAGATTGGAACATTAAAATTCCATTGTCAACATTATGAGTTGCTCTTCTCACATCCTTATGTTCTTCTACAGATTTGTAATAATTCTTTTCATGGCGATTTTCATCTGTAGAAAATGTAAAAATTTTAATAATATAAAATAAATTTTAAAAATAAAATTAAGTTAATGTTTAGTTTTAGTTAAAAATTGAAGGTTTAGCAGAAAAAAATGAGGGCGGTTCGTGTAACTTTCAAGTAAGTAGAGCTTTTTTGCGAATGATTTACGTACGTAACATGTTATTAATTGAATTAATGTCTTTATATCAAATTTTTTTTCACTTTTTTCACTCCTAGGAGGAGCATAGGGCTAGTGCATGATACATGCCCTAGTTTCATAGCGTCATAGTTATTACTTACTGTTTATTTTTCTTAGTTTTTTTAATATCGAATATTATGAATATTAAGTTATGTGATGTTGAATATAATTTTTATAGTGACCTGGCCGGGGTTTGAACCCCAGACCCTTCGGTTAAAGCACTGCACCAATGATCGAGTTAGGTTTTTTTTGATCAAATAGCATTCTCAATTTAATTGGGTCTTAAATATCGCAAAGTTCACTAACATTGTAACCACAATTTACTAATTTTTTGAACGTTTTTACGTCAGAAGGAAACAAGTACCTAATATAATTTTAGATATGTAAAATTCATGTTAAACCTTGAAAAATGAGCTTAATATTTTCAAAATATGTAATAAAAAACTAACAAAATAAAAATTTATAAATCTATCAGCAAAAATTATTTACTTATTTTAGTTAAGAAAAAAACTTTTTTGGTTTAAAATTTGATTCTTTACTGTATTAATATTTAATAACTGTTTATTAACAATTTATTTTGAAGAAGCTCCTTTGTATTCTAATTGAGGCCTTACTAGTCTACATAAAATTTTATATTTCAATGAGAATTGTAAAATGTACCTGGAGTGACTTTTCTCATTTTCCGTTCATAATTTTTGGCTTGTTTTCCCCATGTTGTAACAAAATAATGCACTTCAATACAATTTGCCACTGCTTGTTTAAAATATTCTTGCATTACTCTTATGTCTGGCATTATAAAGCAACCGCTTTCCTCTTTAATATCCATTTCAGAAAAAAAAATCGGTCTTAATAATTTTGTATCTTGCTTCCAATCAAACCTAAAATGTGTTTTGAACATTATTAGAGAATTAACTTAAAAATATACGTTCAAGAGGAAAACATACTTTAAAATAGAATTTTTAATTAATTCTAAAGACTTTTTTGAGCATTGGACTAATGCTGTTATCATTTTTGAATTATTATAAGCAAATATATCCATACAATCATTTCTTAATGTTGCATATTCATAGCGTATTGTTTCAAATGATTTTGAGCACATCGTGAGACGGTTTTCTTCAGTTGGGAAAAATACTGGTCGATTTATTTTATCAAATTGTATCCAATCATATTTATTAACTGGCATTTCTCCTTCAATTTTCCAATTCATAGCTGTTATTTGATCTAAAGGTAAAGCAAATACTCTTCTACCTTTGTAATCAAATGGTGGAACATCTAATAAATCAACAAACATATTATTTATGTCAATGACTGCTCTTTCAATTAGGATAGATTTTTTTTCTATTTCACGTTCTTGAAAAAAATTTAAGTTATTTTCGTTTAACACCTTTTATTAAAAATCATCTACACAATTTTATATGCAATATTCTTACCAACTTTTTGCCGAAGCTTATTGCTTTCAAATAAGTACATTTTAGCTGAAATCGGTTCATCTGGAATATATACGAGATTTTCTCTTGAAATATAGTTTAATTCTTTTAAAATCCGTACATTTTGAATTGATATAACGTTTTCATAAAAATTTGATATACGTTTATAAACCTAAACATTTGTTTTTTTCGTTTTTAAATATTAAAAATAAAATTTTATTTAAAAATTAAGCTTACTTCTTCGGCAGTACAAATAAAATCTTCTAATTTTTCTGATGTCCACGTTATATCAAACAAACCAGGTTTGAATGCAATTTCACTCTCTTTCAATTGGAATCTCATTATATTAATGAATGTGGAAGAAATTGAATTTCGAAAATTCGTATATTTTTTTATGAGAGATAATAATCTATAATGAGGTCCAAATATTTTTTCCTTGCAGAATGTTATTACAAAAGCAACTTTTGGCACATCTACGATTAATGCAAAGGAAAATGCAAAAAATTAAAAATTTATAACTAAGAATTATGATTATAGGTTCATAATTTTAATATTTTAATAAAATAATTTTAAAACCTAATTTTAATTTCCATGCACATTCTGTTTCTCTTGCCAATTCAAAAACTTTATTATGCAAATTAACATTGTAAATAGCTTGAATTTTCTTTTTTGTTAAAACTGGAACATGTATTAGATTTTGAACTTCTTGAGAAAAATCATAGAAAGTCTTACGATGTGTTATTTCGTAATGGTATAAAAGAGTCATCATATAATTATAAAAATGTATTGTTCTTTGACACTTTGCATGATTTATAACACATGGTCTTTGATTGATCGCATCCATTAATTTGACAATTTTCTTAATGAGCATTCTTATCCACATTATTCGTCCCATTATTGGTGGTGAATTACGTGGTATTGGCGGATTTTTTCGGTCCTCATTATAACTAAAATAAAATATTTGTTAGTTCCTTCACATAATCCTATATTTGAATTACATATCGTGGACACAAAACGATTAAAAAATTCTAAAAACCAAAATTATATTAAACTTAAAATTTACATATCCTTTAAAATCATTATTTCCTTTTCTAATTCAACTGAAATTTCTAAATAACGTCGATCTAAGCATAAACTGTCTAAATGCAACCTTTTGAATCTTTTCAATATTAATAACTTAGATTCAACATTTTGAATTGGCTGTATAGTAATCTTCAGAAATTCTCTTAATTTATCTTCAACATGATCAACATTTTTAATAAATATTTCAAAATCTTTATCGAAATGATTGTCTCGATAATTTAAAACATCTTCATTTTCCATGATTATTTTAGTTCTTAAAGATTTTATTTGATCAGCAAACGATTCTGTACCAGCAATTTTTATCCGTTCCAAATATTTAAATTGAAGTTCAGTTTGTATTACAGCTCTTATCTAAATATAAAAACTCATATAATTTTTTACTAAAAAAACAAATTTTTAGTAATCGGTGACACATAAAATTAGCTGTAATAAACAGTATGATTGACAAAATACTAAATTAATATTGAAAAAAATTCAATTTTAGAACTGAGCTTTTTTGCATTTTATGTTTTTAGTACATAATATAAAACAAAAGCTACTCAATAAATATTTCGTTAACTGAAAGTTTAATCGTTAAATCGTTAACAAAACGATTAATGTCCTTTAATTACATTAAAACATATAGGATTTAATTAATTTAACTTTTTTCTTTTAGGGAACAAAAGAAATTTAAATTATCATCGATTATAACGCTTTTAAATCTTAAGTCATAGAATCTTTGATAAAAGATGGTACTGCTTTTCAACAAAATAAACAAATAAAATGGCTCATTTGCCGCAACGATGACATAGCTCAAGAAATATTATTTCTTAGTTAATTAGACCGAAACCAGCCATTTAAACAATTTTTTTTTTTGCGAAAATGCCACTTCTCTAGTTTGGAAATTGTCGCTCACAATAAATATATATAAAATACTCGTAAGGAGAAAAGCGTATTATCTCCAAAAGTTTAAAATTCGGTTTTCTCAAATATAGTAAAAAATGTAGTAATTGAGATATGGCAGTATTACAGCAAACAAGCAAAATATACCTTTTTTAATCTTTTCAATAATTTTTCCAAGTACGTGAATATATAAGTTGGAGATACTTCCCAAGGTTTTTCTTCATTAAATTTCATGTCATTAGCTGTTTCATAAAATAATTTTTCATAATATTGTAACAATTGTTCACATAAATCGATATTTTTTGTTAATTTATCTGCCGGCATGTCCCAAATATTATTTTTGCTATCGTTAGTTAAAAATTTATTACAAGCAATTGTTAATTGATTTGTTATTTTAACAAATAAACTTGTAATATTACTACATTTATTAAAATAAAATGAAGTTTTTGAAACATTTCTAATAGCCATTAGCAAACCAGAAAGACATTTATTAATTTCATGCAAATTATTTCTAAATGGAAATTTATAACAATATTTTCGTGAAAACTTAATGTTAAAAAGAAATTTACCTATATAAAGGTTCCCAAAATTTTTGCAATGTTTTTATATAATGAACATTATCTCTAGCTTCATTTAACAAAACTGTCAAGCTATTATCTAATTGATTCCATTTCTATAAAAACAAAAAATTAGTCTCCCATTCGTTACACATTAGAAAACAATAATATTAGAGTTTTAATATAAAGTTTTAATTGAATAATTTTTAATCGACGCTTCACTTATTTTAAATTAAGACGTCAAATTTATTTGATTTGAAATTTTCTTTACTAGCTAAATACATACTTATTCCTTCAAGTTAAAATTAAAATTAAAATTATAAATCCTAATGCTTTTTAATTTCTACGAGTTTCTACACGTTTAAACATATATTTATATTTTATATTTATTTAATTCCTTATCTCAAGAGAGTAGTTTTGCTCATACCGAGTGTAACTTAATACACAATTTTGGTTTAAAGTAAAATAAAATTACAGTTTCCGATTTTATTAACAATTCATTGAAATTAAAGAAAAAAATATCAGCTTTTGAATATACGTTTTAAACACAGCTTTCTCAAAATGGCCCTAAAAAGAATATTTTGCATATTATTTTGTACATTGAATTTGCGTTTTAATCTTCATAATATTAGATAAAACAATATTTTCAAATTTTACAACTTGAAATATGATTGTTTATGTGAAACTTTCTTTAATGAAATTACAAAAATCCGTGGAACCACTTGAAAACATAGTGTTCTATGTTTGTAAATTATAAAGAAAAAATTATATGAAGCTTCTGTATATAGATTGCTAAAATAAACTTCTTTAATTTTGCCTAGACATAAGTTTCCTACGAAACTGAATTGTATATGTAAGTATTCAAAAAATCAGAGTTATTAACTAAACTATTAATTAAATTTTAAGTGCGATTATTCATTAAAAATGAAAATAAAATTGAATTTGACTAAAAAACCTAATAAACATTTATATTGAAAACAAAATATACAAACACACAATTTCTTTCTGACCTTCTGTAAACGTAACGACTTTCTTAAAATTTATGATATCTTAATTATTTCTAAAATAATTATTGATAGACGGCAACTGGTATTTAACTAAAAATTATTATTAAATATTTTCGTCATGGCAATTTAAAACGAACTTTGAATATACCCCTTTTATATTTAATTAAGCCAATTTTATTTGTTTAGCGGCTCATCAAGTGCTAAGCCCCTGTTGCATTGATTTTGGTATTCATTTTTATAAATTTGTTATATTGGCTACATACCTTAACATCATGTGCATGTAAAACAAAAACCGAATAAAGCCATAATAAAAATAGTTAAAGGCATTAATCAAAAAGTTCACCGCCGCAAACACATCCGGACGATTTATACAATATTTATGATATTATACATTTTTCACTTCGAGAAATAAAAAATGTATTATAACACAAAAATACTCGTATGTATGTATCCAAAAACAAAGCTAATTAAGAGTGCCGTGACTAAAATTTTCTTGATTTATGCTAAATAATAATGTGGGTCCATTAGCCATTTCCAAATCGAACTATTATTAAATGACTAATGAAGGTTTCTTTGGTGTTTTCGCTTTTGATCAAAATATTTTCATTTTTTTACTTTGAGTTTTGATAATCAAACACCATTATAAGAATCAAATTTATATTTACCTTTAAAAGTTTAGATGATTGCGATTGTATTAAGCATTGATGATGGCTAATAAAAAGTTTTGTTGAAATAAATTCTACAATAAATGTATACCGATTTAACATTTTTCTCCAATATTCATATAATTGCATTGGTCCGCTTTCTGGGGTATCCCTTTCAAGTTCATGACCTACTTGTAAGATCTATTTAGAATCGCAATTTTAAAGAAATAAATATTGAATACGAATCCCTGTAAATGTATACTACGAATGTGGAGTATAAAAATACTCCATATATATACTCATAGTAACTGTGTTTGAAAAGTCTCTACTATAGTACAAAAATTAAATGTTTATTCATTTTGTTCAATAGTTTATTCTATAAGCAAAATTAAATATTTTTAATTTTTCGATAAATTTCATAACACGTATAATAAGGATTAATTCAGATTTAGTATAATATATAACTTTAAATATAGAATTCGTATTCAACAACCTGAGAATTAACAAAAATAATGAAAATAAAAAATTTAATTTGAACAATACTTATGATTCGATACCTTTAACTTGAACAATTTCAATTAATTGCATCCATTCACCAAAAAATTTTTCAACTTTTCTAACAAGCCTAACCTTTTTTGAAGTTTCATTTATTTCATGTGGAACCAACAAATGCCCTTTGTATAAATTTTGATCAACTTCAAATTCGAGCGTATTGTAAACAATATCGTTAGATGAATTCAGAAATTGTACATATGTATCTAATTTTTGAATGAATTTCATTTTTTGAAATTCATTTGCTAAACCATAATTGATATTTGCTTTAATAGCAGGCACGGCACAGTTCACAAAAAAATTATAAGTTACAAATAATGATGTTGAATTTTCATTTGTCATATCTATAAAACCAATTTCATCAACTTGATTATTACCATCAATTTCTTGTTTTATATTTCGTTTATATGCACAAGCAAAAGTATTAAATTTTGTTGGGGTTTTAGTATCAAAACATATACAACGTTTTATATCCGTATTACGTGTTTTTTGTGAAAAACGACCTGATTCTAAAGGATAACCTTTAAATATCTCATAGGCGAAAAATATTCCCAAAGTTTCATTTGAATCAAATATTTTTAAAAATGATTTAACGTAAATATCGTGATCTATAATACCGGTAATTACTTCATCAGTTTCAAGGCCAAAAATAATAGCAATTTGATCTAAAATATAACGATAATTCGCTGAACTAATTGTAGTTAATCTCTTTTCACGTAATTCTTTAGCTGCATGAATTAATTCTGTATCCTTCTCAACAACCTTTTTCACTTGAGCATATTGTTTTTCAGTTGTTTGTTGAATTCTCTTTGATAGTGTAAAAATCTTTGCCAATCGATCTGAATCTCTTCGGGAGGACATTCTTCTTTTAAGAAATCGAATATTGCAAAATTATTATTTTTTTTTTTTTCTCTAAGCTCTTTGCACATAAATTATGTACATATATAAATTTATTTGATAATTAAAATTTTAAAATTATGGCTTATAAAAAATAATTTATAATTTTTTGCTCTTCCTTCTGATTTTTTTTCTTTTGAAAGTAAATCAAATTTTAGATGGAAAATTCTAAGTTGATTTAATTTTCAAATTATTTTTAATTGAAAGTGAAAATTAAAGTAAAAAGTGTATTTTTTATAAAAAACTCATTATAGCTTCACCTAACTTCACATTTTTAAATTATTTATTTATAGAAGGTTGAACAAAATTTCACAAAAACGCTATAAAAATTACAAATTTTAAATTCAATTCTCTGCACGGTTGTGCGGTTCTTAAGTAAAAATTTAGAAATTTATTGCCAGTCTGAATTCAGTAATTTGTCTTACCTTGACAAGATTTAAAAATTATATATTACGAGTATGTACAATGTTTTTATAACATTTTTGCGAATTATATAAAATTCAATGTTTTTGTTTTAAAATTAAAATAGAAGAACGCTTTTTGTATTCATAGCAAGTAATGTAGTGTGTTCTTATAAATTACATTTTAATAAAAATAATGTTATTATAACTCCCGAAATATACTCGTAATAATCACAAAAATCATAATTTAGAAACTTAAAAAAGAACAATATGTAAGAGAATATATTCATTTGTATAGTTTGTAGGAATTTCCTAAACTGTATTTCCAGTAATTTTTTCATTTGCCTTACATTTACATAGTTACTCAAAATTTTCTTTTTCCGGGATTGTGCAAACTAAGAAAATTAAATACATTTTCGTTAAGATTTATTGTAAGAAATTAAAATTTGAAATAATATTACAAATTTAAATTGATACGATATCAAATTAAACATCATTTTTATGAAAAAATTAAAAATAAAAATTTATAAATTATATTGCAAAATTACAGAATTATTAAAACCCGCGTAAATTTTTTGTAAAAAGAGTTGATTTATATTTAAAAAAGCATTTATTATTAAAAATTTATTTTTATATTATGATTTATATTTAATACTTCGAATAATTTAAAAAATATAGTTAAAGTTATTAAAATAGTAATAAAAGTGTTGAATGTTAAAATAGTGTTGAACTTTAGGATAATTCTTTTTAATTTTTATCTTTTTGAGAATTAATTATTAATTATAAACACCTTTAATTTTTGTTTTGTTTAATTTAAAATTTGAATTTATTTTTATCCTAAAATTTTTTTTCAATATTGCTTTTTTAATACACAACTCAACTTAACGTTATTGTTAAAGTAAAAGGCAACCGTTGCTAAAAAATTAAACATCTTATGATTTTATATTTATATATTTTTTTTTGTAATAATTAGTAATAATAATTTTTTTATGAATCTAGCAAACAATAATTTTATTACAACGGAAGAAGGTACCATAATCAATTAACGTCTTTTCGGCTTCCTGAAAATTATAAAAATTGAAAAACAAAATTCAATAAATTTTTTAGCAATTTTAAAAAAAATGTTAATTTAAAAATAAAAAAACATGATTTTAAGTACGCACCGAATTTGATTTGTCCATAATATTTTTATATATCAGACGAATTGCTCAGGCCAAGCATCAATTATCATACAAACTAAAATTGTATACGAAAGGGTCAAAACAATCAGCATTTAGACGTACGAAATGCATTAATCAGATTGTCTAGCAAAATCGTCATCATTTGATGAGAGAGCAAAAGGAAGGGTAATTAGTAAGGGTCAGTGCGTTTAATAGTATGAGGGACACAAAAAATTTTTGGATTAAATTTTACAGAAAAACAAAAAAAAATAGTAAAAACAAAAACGAGTTGAGCTACAATACTACTCATAATCACAGTTAATCACAATTTAAATTCCTTGAAAGTACAGATCTCATAACACGCTTATCAATCAGAAGATCAAAATAACTAGAGTTAGAATTGACGGCGTACGCAATATCCTAGTCATCAGTTTATTTCTACCATATTAATGTGACGTGGTCGATTAAAATATAAAATATACATACATTTTTTCATACGTTTTCAATTGAAATAACGAGATTTAAAAATATAAATAAAAGTTAAACCATGCAATTTTTCGAATAGGAAATTCTGACGCTAACAAAAGCGTCTAATTTAAATGAAACATTGCTTATTAATTAAATAATGGTAATTTTATTAAAAAAATTATTACGTTAATAATGCGTAATCACAAAATAAATATATTCTGATTAAGTTCATGATTTAATCGGAATACACCTTTATAATTTTAAGAATCAAATTATGTGCGCACTACAAATATATTAAGAAAAATATTGCTTACGGATCGTAAATTAATTAATCCATTTCGGCTTTGGCATCTTTTTTTCCACTTTCATGAACAATTATTATAATGGCAAGAACTAAAACTTCGGCAACAATTCCTAAAAATGGCCATAACGCGGCAAATTTACCTAAAAAATAATATTAAAATGAAAATAATATTAATATATTTGATTTAAGTAAATATAGTATGGATATAAAATGTCTTTGTTTTATTCATAAATATAATTTAGACCTTTTACTCGTAGAACTGTAACTCCAACTGCTTCCTTTCGTCCAGCGTATTCTGTAGCTAAATTTTTTGCAATGCATTTATATTCACCAGCATCAGTTGCAGTTACATTGTGAATAACAATTAAAGCATTTTTTATATTTTTCTCATTTTCTTGTAACAGGTACTTATCGGTAGACTTATCAATTACAGTTTCATCTATAATATTTTAATTGTATAACATAATAAAAAAAAAGAAAAGAAATTACATTTAGTTTTAAATTAATTAATATCTAAGTACTCGTATATAAAAAATATTTTTATATAAATTTTTTTACCAAACTGCCAGTGAATTTGTGGATCTGAACCGGCTACTATACAACGAATAGTTAAAGATTCGCCTTCAACACTTCCTGTACCAGATGGAACACGAACAACAACTTGGGCTTTAAACAAAGATTTATTTAGTTGTTATTACAATTTTTAAACAGTAAAGTATGATTAATTTGAATAATTCAATTTATTAATAAGGAAATTCACGAAAATAATTTTAATTTTGTTAACAAAATTTGTAAAATTACATAATTTTTGCATTTACGTAATTTTATTTTTGCTTTCTTAGCAATTATCAACATTACAAAACTAAGTGTTTTTAATCCAATTTTAATAACTCGTAGAGAAGATTTTAAAGAAATCAAAAACCAGAGATTCTAACCATAGATTTAAAAATAATATATTCATGTTATATGCTAAATCTTTAAGAACCCTAATCTACCCCAAAAGTTAAAAACCCGTGTTCTAAACTTTTATATAGTGCATTTACCTTACCACATTTTTAATATAAGATTATTTTTAATTTTTACTTTTAAATCATTTATACTTCTTCAACTTATAGATTCATTAACAAATTCAAATGCAACTTACAGACAACATTTATATTTCTTTTCTCATCGTTTAGAACACAACTATAAGTTCCTTCATCATCTTCAACAGTTTTTTCAATTATGAATGATTTTTCAGGTCCATTTATTTTATAACGGTCCTTTAGTTCAGGAATTTTCGATACATCAATTCCATCTTTCTCCCTAAAAATGAAATAAATTTTAATAATATTAATTAGAGTATTAAAAAAAGAAATAAATTTGTTACGTTTTATAAGTAAAAATTTAAGATAAAGAAGATTGCAGAGAAGTTTGCAGAGAATAAAATAAATGTTGTATACATGTTTTCCTTTTATAAGTAATGTTATTATTTATGTTGAATTAAAATAAGCGTAATTTTGTTAGCAAATTTATAATACTTTCATTAATTAAATATTAAGCCATGTAAAGTACAAGAGTTATGAGTATTTATGTTACATGTATATAAGAAATTTGTAATTGTACATTGAAAATTAATTTTTTCCAACTTTTTATTTAAAAATATATTATTATAGTATTTTATTTGCGTACATATTCAAATATTTATGTAATATATTCTATTAAATTTTATATACATATATATATGTATATTTACATTTTATATACAATATTACACTTACCAAAATAAACCATCATTAGATCCACTTGTAACATTACATTTTAAATGTAATTTGTGTCTTATATCGTAAACTTTAATTTCTTTATTTTGATTATCGTAATTTGGTACTAAATTGCTCACTGAAAATATTTACAAAAGAAAAAAAATATAAAATAAATAAAAATAATGTGTATTACATATTTATTGTACGACTAAACAACATACACATACACGCATACAATATTAGTAAACAAGATGGTCAAGTATTTTATTTTTCTTTTCTTTTTTTTTCAAAAATAATACTTAAAATATAATAAAAATTTGTGTAGTACAATTTTTTAAAATATAAAGCAACTATATTTGAAAAACTATGAGAAGAGAATTAAAAATTTTCTCACGAATTTTCAAAAAGACAAAAAAATCATTGGAAATAGTATTTTGTGGGATAATTGTGTCTTTGAATACGTATAAATAAAATAAAATAAAATACGTATAAAACATAAAATTTTATTTTTAATTCCACTGTACATTATTTTATTAAAAGAAAATATTTCATAATTTGTTCCCAAAGAGCATTTTAAAATTATAATAAAATGTTATTTTCCATGAGAATGAAAATTTATCATGAATTGCAAAGTTCATGACAAATTTTCTTTATTGTACGAGTATTTCATAAAATTATAAAAATACGTATAATTTAAGATTCAAATATTTGTTATGTGTATAGAATGTATATTTATGTAAATTTTATAAATAATAGAAATAAAAAATTTTAATATTGAATAGTTGATGTTACATATAACATTTTTTGGAGAAAACTTAAGAATTTTGACATATGTAAATCTAAATTCAAAATTTTATTAAAAATTTAGTGCTTGATATTTCTGAAAATGCATTACTGTATATTATGGAATTCCTACACATTATGTGAACTTTTAAGTGTTTTTATTTATATATAACACACACATATATACATTATTTAAAGAATATACTTTGCATAAATTTGTTGTTATAATATAAAACACATATAGAAATTTAAATAAATATATGTACATATATATATTTCTATATTTATATATATATATATAGAATTTTCCTCATAACCCTTACTTAAAATAATTGCAATTTTATATATGTTATATTGAAAATATGATCAAATTTGAAAAAAGAATAAATAAGAGAAAATAATTTAAATAACAATATAAAAACCATTCACATGAAATTATAAAATATAATATAAAAAGTAAAAATTATGAAATTATTAAGAAGAAAAATGACTAAAAAATTAAGTCCCTGTTTAGTTAAACTTTCTATTTTCTTGCAACAATTACAAAATTTTGTAATGACAATTATAATTTTATTGTAATGTACCTTTTTCTATTTTATCGTCTTTTTCTGGTGATTCATTTGATAATTCATCAGACATAACAAAAGATTCATTAAAATAATTTATATTTGACGGAATCGGCGAATAATACATTGTTTCTAATTCAATTGGTGTTGTTGTTAACTTTTCGTTGCTAACAACTTTTAACGTATGATAATTCGAATGTACTTTATTGCATTGATATTTTCCTTCGTGTACTTTTAATGCGTGCTTAACAGATAAAACGGCTTCGACTTTATTTGTTTCACCTTAAAATATTTTTACATATTTTCACGTTTTTTTATTTTTTATTTTTTAAAATTGATTAAAATTTTTATGTTTCAATTTAAATATTAAACGGAAAGAAAAAAAAAGAATAAAAAATATAAGCTATAAAAAAAATCAACAAAAAATTGGAAAATTTTTGAACAGAAAATTGGTAAATATTTATTTCTTTTGTTTTTTTTTAATCATTCATTTATTTATTGAATTAGATTGATTACCTTCTACTTTTTTTTCTCTTATAACATAGGCATGATCACTATTCCCATGCCGTAAATTATGTCGTGTTATAGGTTTATTATCTTTAAGCCATTCTATTGGATCAGATAATGTAACTATACAAACAATTTCAAATGATTTACCAACTTCAACTTCTGAATCACCAAAATATACTGTGATACCGTCATCGATTAAATTTGCGCTAGTAGTTTTGGCTAGAATATTAAATTTTTAAAATGCCACATGTAATTATAAAAATTTTTATACAAAATAAATTAACAAAAAAAAAAAAAGTTTATCAAAAAATTTACTTCAATATTTTATTTTAATAATTTTATTTTATTTTAATTCTTTAAAAGTGATATTTATGGATAATTTATTAAATAAAATTTTCTCCTATTTTCAACGACTACAATTTTTTATAGATGACTGTATATCATAAAATTATAGGAAAATCTCAATACACATTACAAGCATTTTCTTATCAAAATAAAGTATGACATAACCTTAGGCGGTTAAAATTACATATGTATTTATGTATTAAAGTAAAACAAAAACTAGTTTTTCTTCTCTATCAACTTTTTTTATGTTTTCTTTTACGTTAGACTTAATATAATATAATATAATTACCTAATAAGAATTTTTTTTTTAAATTAATTGAAAAATACCAGAAGAACAAAAAGCAAAAATAAAACTTAAAAAATTTTATTTAATATGTAATTTTTTTTATATGTTTATATAATGATTATTGTGAAAAAATAAAAATTGCATGTAAATTGTAAGAAACAAATTTTTTCTCTTTAGTATATTTCATATACTAAAGAACAATTTTTAATACAAAAACTGAAAAAATTTAAAAGGTTATTAGGGCAAATGCTATACATAGATATTGAAATTATTGTACATTTTCATACTGTTAATATGTATTATACAATATACATACATATATATATACACAAAAATTAATTACATTCACACATTTTTGAAATATGTACATCTTATATGTATATAATATAATATATACTATACTACAAAATTAGCTGATATATAAAATAAATTATATATATTGTTAATTGTTTATCTATATATGCATATATATAGAAAACAAAATTTGTCACATTTTTGTGCATAAATATTAACTATATAGATATATATTTAGACATATGTATGTATAAACATATATATACATATTATGCAGACTATTTTATTATAACTGTTTATAGCTATTATAATATAATATTATAGATTTATAGTTATTTTACTGAGCCCAAAACCCAACATTGCGTAAAAAATTTATGCTGTAAACTTTAAATTTTAATTATGTTTTCTTTATGTATATATATAAAGATGAAGTTTTATTAGCACTAAAAATTTTACCATTGCAAAAACTTATTACATTTAATATTATTGTATTCGACTATAACTAAAGAGTATTCAAAAAAAAGATAAATTTTAGAATAATTTAAAAACTCATATTAATTTATATAAAATAATAAATTAACTATAACAGAATGTATTCGGGATTTGTAAGTATATATGTATGTATGTAATTTATGAATTCAAGTATTAATATTATTGACTTAAAAATATAGTAAGTGTATGTATGAATGTATATAAATTTTTCTATAACACATTGCATATTTATAGGGAGTATTTCTACTAATTGTTATAAAAGCAATAGTGTAGAGAAAAAAATTTTATTAAAAATTAGTATGTATATATATATATATATTAAAGGGAAACAACATGCCATATAATTTAACAAAAAAAGGAAAAAAAAAAAAAAACCATTTTTTTTTAGTTAATTTTGTATTATAAAGATAAGAAAAAAAAACTCTTCTTTTACCTGCATAAGTAATTTTCACAGCAACGATAACAAGTAGAAGAACTTTTTCTATCAAATCCATTTTATTGATTAATTCTAAAAATTTATTTTTTCGTACTTATTTAGCTAGGATTTTTACACTATATTTAAATATAACTATATAATTATATATATAATTATATATTTATAACTATGAATAATTTTTTTTCTTATTTTATATTATAACAAGATTTCCATAACACTTTTTTCGAATTTTAATAATATTTTAACTTTTTTTAATTTCATTTAAAATACATGTATAAATATGTATATACATAAATATATATATATAAGTATGTATATTTTTTTTAAGATATATTTGTTTCTTTTTTCAAGACTTGCTTTATATCTTTATTTTAACTATTACTTTTTTTTTTAATTTTAAACACTATGAAATGAAATTTTGTTTCACGTTTAGCGAAACCCAGATATTATGCAATTTTAAAACCATTATTTACAACGAGAAAGCAGGGAAAAATAAATATGCAAAGATAAGAGCCCAAATTGGCATTGAAAAACTCAATTCAAATTGTTTTCAACTCTTCTACATACACAAATTTTTATTTTACTTATGTTTGCTTTACTCTTTTTTTTTAAGTGAAGAAAGAAAGAATACAACACTAAAAGTGGCACAGAATCGAGCAAAAAAATTATTTTTCCCTTGTTTTTCCTTTTTGCTTTATATATATACATAAATATTTATATGCACAAAACTATATATAAATATCTATTTTTTTTCAAATATACATACATATTTTATGCTGTATAACGTAATTTTTTGGCAGTTAAATGTAAAAAATGAGAGTAAACGTATACTATAAAAGGGGAAAAATGCTTTGATAATATCGTAAAAATAATGACAGTTGATATTTCATAATATTGTAAGAATGGTAAATTTTTATTTGCTACCGTTGGAATACAAGAAATATGCAATTAATTTGTAATGTACTGAAGTTTTTTTTTAATTTAGTCTGATTTATTAAAAAAAAAAACATATTATAAAAGAATTAACTTTAATTAAATTAACTATAATAAAGATGTCATTGATTTATTTAAGACTAATTAGTTAATATTATGTTTTACATAAAGAAATTTCAAATATCGATGCATCGATTTTAATTCAATACATATTCTTTAATAAGCGTATACATTCTATAATAAGAAAAAGTCGTACAGGATATTCTTAAAAACTATTTTGAATTCTATGGAACAGGAAATTTTACAATTAACTTCTTAATAATGTGTAAGTTTGAAATTTGTTATATGATATTTTGATTATTGCGTTATACAAAATTATAGTACTTTGGTTAAAAATATGGAATATATATTTGTGTATTTAAATCAAACCAAAAAATTTTTTTGCAATGGATATGAAACACAAAATATCAAAACAATTAATCGTTTCAAAACAATTAAATCGCCTCAAAATCAAATTTTTAAACAAAAAATATAATTTTATTAAATATTTAAAAAGTGGCTCTTCATTTTTCTAAATCACTTATTCTAAAAAGAATATAAATTACATATCACAAACTCCTTTTACTGTTTGCTATTTGTGATTAAAAAATTTAGTAAAAATTGCTATGCCACGAAAATTAAAAACGATAAATGTAAAAATTGAAATAAAAAATTCAATGTAGAAATTTTTGATTTAAGTTATGTAACACTCCTGTGTAGAAATACATATTTGGGTACTTGGGTAATACATATACTATGTACAGTCATTCTACTGTACATAATACATAGTACAATAGAATGACTGTACATAGTAAACCAATGTACATATAGTATGACAGTCATTCTATGAATATTAACTATACTCATAAAAATATTTCGCGCCCTCTTACTATATTCATATTATAAATACTAAAACAAAAATTAAACAAATCATAAGAACACCAAAAGTAAAATGAACTGAATCAAATACACGCTTATATTAAACTGAAGTTTCTTTTCTAAAAAAATCATTCATATATAAAAGCATAAAAAGAAAAAAATACTGAAAAAAGAATAGGAATAATGATGATAATAACAATAATAAATGAAATAAAACAATATTGATTGAAAAATGTATGAGTATGCATAGTGAACCTAATATCCTTTCTAATTTACTTTCCTTACCGTTTCATAAATCTTTATCCTTTTACATAAAAAGTTTTTTTTTATATTTTTTTGTCTTTGAGAAAATAAAAATTTTATACAATGAATTTTTCTATGCTTATGCATTTTTGCAGTTACTTTTTATCCTTGCTTTAGACCGGTCCGGTCAACCGCAAAAACTCGCTGAATGCATTAAATTATATTTATGTATAAATCGCTTTAACACAATTTTAAAATAAAGTATAAGAATATATAAATGAAAGGTAAATTAAAATTATAAACGATTACAAAGTCGTTACATATTCATTGTAACAAAGCATAATTAATACAAATAATTATGTGAGAACACAATAATCAAAAAGGATCATTCATATACCAAATAAATTGTTCTAGTAAATTAAATCAATATTGTTGTAATAAAAAAAACTATTCACTACACTGAATTTAGGTCAACGCACTATATATTTATAATTTGATTTCATTTGAAGTTTTTTTTTCAATATTTTTGCATAAACAATATATTTACATGTACATATGTGTATATGAATTAATATGTACATTAATATTTTTTAATCGTAATTATATTAGCTCTTAAATTAAGGTTACTTTAATAAGTGGAGAATTTTTATGCGAAAAATAATGAGAAATGACTTAAGTCCAAATAAAAGAGAATTTTGTTTTTAAAATAACGAGTATTTAAGTGGTTGATATTTAAGTTTGTCATCATAAGGCAAAAAACAATTAAGGTTATCAATTGTGCTCCACTTTCGAGTATATTGTAATATATTAACGACGATATGAATATAACATAGTAACGGAAATTATGAATAGTATACTGAGAAATAATAAAGTGAAAATTTATATTTGATTAAAAAAATAGCTTTTATGCAAACGGATACTTTTTTTAAATATTCTAAGTACTTATAAAAAGGGGTTACTTTGGATATTTGCAATAAATGAAATTTATTACTTCATATTGAAGAAAATATTTTTAAAATTTTTAGAAAAACCAAAAGCAGGACACTTCAATCCCACTCCAAGAAGAAAATCAATTTTTACCCCAGTTCTAACAAAAATAAAACATGGTAACAATGGTCATAATTTTGATGATGAAGTATATAATTCTTTTGAAAGATCAGAAAATAAAATTAAAGTAAGTATTAGTTTTCTTTTTTTTATTGATAAAAAATTAACTTTAATAAAAATAAAAAAATAACGGTGAAAATTTCAATTAAAATAAATTTTATAGAGGCATAGCATCCACGGGATGATGGATGAAGAGAATATTATTCGGCCCCATCAAGAAATGGGTCAGTTATCTTTGGAAGAAAAAAAATATCTTTTGGCAGTCGAGAGAGGTGATGTGGCCGGTACTCGAAGGTAAATATGCAAATATTTTTCTTCTTTTTTAATAATTTCATCTCAAATCATATCCTTTTGCTGTTTGCGTTTTTAGGATTATACAAAAGGCGTTGGAAACTAACTATATTAATTTAAATTGTGTTGATCCTCTAGGAAGGACTGCTTTATTAATGGCTATGTAATTTTTTGAATAAAAATTTAAATTATTATAAATACAAATTTTTTTCTCAAACAATCTTTTTTTTAAATAAATAATATAGCGATAATGAAAATTTAGAAATGGTTGAATTACTTATAAATTATAAACTTGATACAAAAGATGCCTTACTACATGCCATTTCTGAAGAATTTGTCGAAGCTGTTGAAGTTCTTCTTGACCATGAATCTAACCTACATAAATATGATATGAATGTAAAGTTAAAAAAAAATTAATTTATATTACATTAATATAACTAAATATTTTTTAAGAGTTGTGAGTCGTTAATGGATGATACAAGTTCATTTACGCCTGATATCACGCCCCTCATATTAGCGGCTCATAGAAACAATTATGAAATAATTAAAATTCTATTAGATCGTGGTTCGACAATTCCAATGCCACACGATATAAGGTTTAATAAGTTTGAGTAACTTTTTAATAAAAGTTTAAAAAGTTTTAAATATTTTTTTGTCATTTTTTGATTAGATGTGGATGTGATGAGTGTGTAATATCACATATGGAAGATTCATTAAGACATTCACGATCAAGTAAAATTTGAAACAAAATATATAAATTTGTTTTTTTAATAATTTTGATTTCAAATAAAAATTTAATATTTTAGGAATAAATGCTTACAGAGCTTTGGCAAGTCCCAGTTTAATAGCACTATCATCAAAGGATCCTATACTTACAGCTTTCGAGCTTTCATGGGAATTGAGAAGGCTTAGTTTTTTGGAACATGAATTCAAAGTTATAAATAAAATCAAAATATTTACTAACAGTATAGTATAAAACATTTTCTTTAGAGTGAATATCTAGAACTGAGAAAACAATGTCAAGATTTTGCAACTGCGTTACTTTATCACACCAGAAGTTCAACTGAATTGGAAATTTTATTAAATCAAGATGCCGCAGCCTCTTTATATAATAGTGGAGAGAAACATCATTTGAGTAGATTAAAACTAGCTATCAAATTGAGGCAAAAAAAGGTAATACAACTTCAAATTAACCAAGAGTCTGTAAATAAACTAAAGAAAACTTATAACAGTTTGTTGCTCATCCAAATGTCCAACAGTTATTAGCAAGCATTTGGTACGAGGGTCTACCAGGTTTTCGAAGAAAAAATATGGTGCTGCAATCAATGGAAGTCATCCGAATAGGTAAATTACCGAATATTACGCGGAGCTTGCTTTCCATATATTTAATAAGTTAAAGCTATTAAAATTAATATCAACACATTTTCAATTTATAAATATAGGTGTTATGTTTCCGATGTTTTCCTTATCATATATATTTGCTCCATATTCTACTATCGGACAGACAATGAAAAAACCCTTCATCAAGTTTATATGCCATAGTGCATCATACTTAACTTTTTTATGTCAGTACTTTTTTAACTAACTGAATGATTTCAATAAAAAATCATTTTTTTTATCATACATAATATTATATCTCAGTTTTGCTGATGTTAGCATCACAAAGAATTGAAGCTGTAATAGGAGTATGGTTTTACGATCAAACAACATTTGTGCAAGATGAACTAATAACTAAGAGAGGAGCATATCCATCAAGCATTGAATTGCTCATATTATGGTGGGTAAGTGGTAAGTATAAAAATCTTCTGTATCATATGCTACAGTATTTGGAACGTATATACATTATGTGTGTACATGTATATATGTATGTATATTTTTCATGTACATAGGTTTAATTTGGAGTGAGATTAAACAGTTATGGGAAGTAGGATTACAAGAATATATGAACGACATGTGGAATGTTATTGATTTTATCACAAATTCCTTATATGTTGCAACAGCAGCTTTAAGAGTTGTGTCATTTATTCAAGTAAATGTCAGAATAAATATTTTATATAAAATTATATTTTAAAACTAAACAATGGTTTTTCTATTTTGAATTTTGGAGGTCCGAACTGAAATGCATGCGATAGATTTACCAAGAGAAAAATGGAATGATTGGGATCCAATGTTGATTTCTGAAGGACTTTTTAGCGCTGCAAATATATTTAGTTCGTTGAAATTAGTTTATATATTTTCTGTTAATCCATATTTAGGGCCCCTTCAAGTATCGCTCTCAAGAATGGTCATGGATATAATTAAGTTCTTCTTTTTATATGTTTTAGTTTTATTTGCTTTTAGTAATGGTCTGAATCAGCTACTATGGTAATTTTTGTGCAAAATTTTTAGCTAAGCAATTTAAAGAAATTTTCACTACAAAAAGGTACTATGCCGATTTAGAAAAAAAGCGATGCCCTGAATTGACTGGAAATGCCAACCTCACTAATGGTACTGATTTAAATGCGTGCACAGTGTGGAGAAGATTTTCAAAGTAATTACTTTAATCCAAGGATTTCAATATTAATAATCATTAACTCTGTTTAAAGTTTGTTTGAAACGACACAGTCATTATTTTGGGCTGTTTTCGGTTTGATTGATTTGGATAATTTCGAGCTAGATGGTATAAAAACTTTTACACGATTCTGGGGAATGCTCATGTTTGGAACTTATTCTGTAATTAATATTGTTGTCTTATTGAATTTATTGATAGCAATGATGAACCACTCGTACCAACTCATAGCTGTAAGACAAGTACATTATTGACTAATGCATTATTCTTTCTATTAATTGTACACATAATACTATTATAAATAACATTTCATGATAATTAAACATTACTTTTAAATCAGATTTTAACTATGTACTTATGTACCTAATTTAACGCTATAGGAAAGAGCAGATACAGAATGGAAATTCGCTCGATCAAAATTGTGGATAAGTTACTTTGAGGAAGGTGGAACATGTCCACCTCCTTTTAATATCATTCCGACTCCCAAATCTTTATGGTATGCTTTCAAATATTTAAAATCAACATTTTGTGCTCATTCTACAGCAGCACGTAAAGAGCACTTAAAAACTATTAAAGTAAGAAACTAATCACATAATTATAAAAATTTTGCACTAGTTTCTACAGATCTTGACCATAAAATATAATTTAAATAATTTTACCCTCTCATTTTTGTTGATACCAATGAAATAATTTGCTTTCAAATTTTAGAAAAGAGAAAAACAAGCAAGTGATCGAAATTTGAAATACCAAGTAAAAAAATACATGCATAACTATTACAGTAATAGAAAACATTTTTCCTTTTTCCAGCAAATAATTCGTAATTTGGTACGACGCTACGTAACAGTTGAACAAAAGAAAACTGAGTCTCAAGGTGTAACCGAAGATGACGTGAATGAAATCAAACAAGACATATCGGCATTCAGGTTTGAATTGGTTGAAATTTTAAAGAATAGTGGAATGGACACGAATGTGAGCGCTGGACAATCAGGAGCAAGTGGTAAGAAAAACCGGCATAAGGAGAGACGCCTAATGAACGGATTTAATATTGCGCGCTCTGGTTCAAATAATCAATCATCTTTTGATTTTATGGATAATCAACAATTTTCCTTCTTCTCAAGTATTGTTAACGAAGCTACTTCAAAAAAAAAAATAGCTCATTTTTCAGTACCAATGAGCTGCTCACAAACAAACTGCGATACTTTGCACACACATGTACTTAAAAAAATTGAGAAACAAGCTACAAGCCCATATGTTGGCGAGAGTTTTGCTGATGATAAAAGTGGTGAGAATTTAATAAATCATTTAATTTTCTAAATAAAAAAAATAAATCATACGAATCATAGAATCAGAAAACCGAACTTCACAAATGTATAAGAAATTTTTGAGCCGGTCGAGATCAGCAGAATCACTTACAAAATATTTGCCGTCGAAAGCTTGTCCTTCTGCAACAAATGTAAGAGAAAAAATATTTCAAAAAAGCAAGCCAGCAGACTCAACACCCTTGAAAGGTTAATTAAACAAAAAACATATTTCAAATACACAATTTTCTATATCAATAAATTATGTTTCCAATTTTAGATGGAAAAGCTATAACAGCTTGGAAAAACAAACGTAAAAAATTTTCGACTAGCAAAAACGTAAATAACACTATTAAAATGGATTCAGTAGCAACAGAAAGCCAAAATTCATTCAACAAAAATGTAATTAATCATATAAAATTACATAATTTATAGTTTTATTTATAATTTTCAAAGCATATAAATTTTAGCTTCTAACGCGAGTCTTAAGCTATCCAGCATGTGAAGAGGTAGAATCAAGTAATATTTCGCCAACCTATCATCAAAAACTAGAAAACGTTGATAGTTTAGAGGAATCATTTGAATATTCTGCCGAAAGTTTATCAACGCAACAAATAAAAGAAGTATCAACATCATCAATAAACTCACGCGAACCTTTACTAAGTGTTTCGTCAGTAACCATGGACATATAAATTTTTACAATTCAAAGTTGTGTATTTTTCTATAAACGCAATGGAGCAAGAATATTAATTACCTGAGAATATATTATAGTTGCAAACAAATATAGTGAAAAACATCATGTTGTCGTTATAACATACTCATATGCACTATATTAGAGATTTTTGAAAAGAAGCACAAGAGAATGAATTTAATTATTTTAAATTAGTACAGAAAAATATATGATTTATTAAAATTTAAGCTCTATACTTTTTTAAATTATGCGATTAATAAAACCTGAAGCCCGCTGTGTTGTTTTTAAAGCAAGTAAATAATAAAATATTCATGTAAAATCGCAACGAGTCAGTATGTTTAAATAAACAAATACACAATTTATAGATAAAAATAATATATTTTTTTTGTTCTAATCCAATAAATAACAGTATTGTTTATAATGTATAAATATATATTAATATAAATATATTGTGTATATTATATAATTATAAATATATATTATTATTAGTACATTTAATAAGTAATTTTCACTTAAACAATTAAAAAAAGTATTATTTTAATTCAATATTGTTTTACTTATTAGTAGTTCGAGGTGAAAAATTCACTCTAAATATAATGTTTATTATTCTTATAAGTTAAGTACATTTTGCTGTAACCATCATATTACATGTTTTAGTGTTTTATAACAAATACGTTATTTATAGAAGAAAAATATTCATTAGTTAAAGCTGCTTCTTTTTAAATTATTGTAAAATTTGTTTAACATATCAATTAAATTATTGTTTTTGTTTAATATATCAATTAAGAAGATATCGCAACGAAATTCGTTGATTTTTTTTAAGTTTTTACTGTAAGAATATTATAAATTTTTATCAAAAACCTTTTAATTCTATATAATAATCTTTTGCAGAATGTTAATAACCTACACATATTTGAATTTGAGTCATATCATGCAATAAATTAAAAAAATAATACATTGGCACGTTAAACGAAGTCTCATGTAGTTTTCAGATAAAACTGCAATCCATAACTCATATGGAAAATGATAAAATAATAAAAGCATTCATATGCACATAATACCATTGTTGATTTTTTAGCGTTAACCTAAATCAGAATACACATTATTTTTAATCTTCTGTAGATTGATACCACGTCACTATCATTCGAATAACAATATAATCATAATAAAGTTTAAAAAACAAAAAATTATATAGAATGCCTGTTTTGTTCAGCATATACTATAATAAAATGAAATGAAACCAAGTTAATTTGTTATGCATTCTTATTAAAATATGCGGACTAGGAATGAAATCATTTTTGCAGCAAATTTCTCCTTATAATTGAAACTTTTGATTTTGCATTTTGCAAATTAAAAATCTTAATTAGAAAAAATTTAAACTGCAAAATTACATTGTTTCTCTTGTAAATCTTAATTCAAATAATTTAACTTTTTTCAAATAATTTAGAAAAAAATCTTAACACATATTATACCAAATTTTGAATGCAAATAAACTGAGAAATAATTATTTTAAATTCGCTTTTTTAGGCTTACACAAATAGATGTATAATACTCAAGCAATAGTCGCTCAATAAAATGTGCTTATCAAAATGGTTTTACTGCGCAAGAATATTAAATAATACGAATTGACTTACAACGAATAATGATGTTTAACCAAAAGATAAAGTTTAAGCAATTTGAAGTGATTGTATAATCATATACTTTAAAAATAACGTTTATTATTAATTCTAGTTAGTACTTACGCATGCGCTGTGTTATATTTGTGTTCTTACAAAATAAGAATTATTTAGTAAATTTAAGTTAAATTCTAAATCAAGCAGATAAGTTATTTTTTTATTGATATGTTTTTTAAAATATTATGTGCCATAACAATAGATCTTTCTAATTCTTTCACAGCTGCCAAATTATTATCATTTTCTTTAAACTCTGGATTTTTACTTAATTTCCAGAATAATTCTGCAGCTGCGTATGCACTGTTGTTCAATATAGTAGCAACATGTAAACATTCATCTGTAGTAACTACCAAATAAAAACAAACTTTATTTTAATATGAAATCATTAGAAAATACAATGGAAAAAAATACCTCTGAAATCTTGATGTGGAAGACTTTTAATTTTGTTCTCAAAATTTTTATGTTCAGGTAAACTAGATCTTTTGCTAATACTTGAGTGAAATTTGTTCATTTTACTTTCTAATTCATCAAAACTTGAATCATCATCTCCGGAGTTTTCAGCAAGATTTGCTAAAATATAAAAAAAAGTTAAGTTAAAATTTTGAAAAACAAAAACAAATTTTATATAAAATATGACATTATATTATTAGGAAAAACAAAAGGAAACATGTTAAGAAATTGTTAAAATGGTTAGTACCGCTGCCGTGTGTTTTTGATCCTTTTCGCCTTAATATTGAACTTGATGTTTTGCTAGGTGTTCCTATAAAAATTTTATTAAAAATATTAGGTTTTCCAGTTATAAAGTTTTTTTTTTTTTACAATTTTTCCTCATATTTCACGATTATTATCGCAAATCGAATATAATTTCTACATATAATAACACTACCACATTACAACATGTTATAAAAATAAACAAAGTAAAAGCAGATTATTTATTTACAAGCATTCAGCTTTTCAAATGAATGTGCAAAAGTAACTACATCATCTGATATTATGCAAATAGTTAAAAAAAAGCCTTACATAAACATAATTTAAAATTAAATGGTTTTCTGAAATCTCAATACCTTTTGTCCAGCATAAATCACTTAAGGATAAAGCTCTACGTATATTATAATCCCCAACCTGGCTTGAGTTAGTGTCACTCTCTACGCAAAATAAACGAAGAAACATTTAATTGTATGAAAGACACTAAAATGAAAAAAATCAATTTACTATATTACTACCTTCTTTTTTTTGATGGAGAATATCCCTTCCTCCACAAAAATTTAAATCAAATGTACTTTGGCTTGTCCGAAGATTTGATCGATAACCAACCTTTAAAACATTATTAAATGCTCATACAATTAGAATAAATAATAATAATAAATATTGAATTTACATTTTCTAATTTCAGTTTAGCCTCCTTTATTACTTTTAAAAGTTCTTCTTTTTTGGTATTGGAATACGATTTGGGTTTATCCTTGTACTCAGTTTTATGTTTTGCACTAATACTTCTTCGGCCTAAAAATTTAGCAGATTTATAAATTTTCAACTTTACCTTGAAAAAAATTAAACATTAATTATTACTTTCGTTATTTCTTGCACTTAAAGTTTGTGGACCATCTATAGCTATCTGCAGGAACTGTGAAGATGCCCTTTGCGGAATATTTTCGAAACTACCACCCAATGCAGAATTCAATGAACGATCTGCATTTTCTCCACTTGGAGTAGAGCCGCCATCATCTGTGTCTGATAAGCATGTGTTGGTATCAGAAACACTAGGCGAAATTCCTCCAGCTGAAGAGTTTGAAATAAGAATTTTTTTATCAAACTTGTTTTTTCGTGCAGTTTTTTTTAATTCTTCTTTGTTCATTTCGTTTACTTTAAAATCCCTAAAATATTAAAATATTATACATATTTGCTTTTGATTTTTTCAATTTGTTTTGTACATAGCGACCGTCGTAGGATAACTAGGGTAATATAATCCATGATCAGAACTAGTGCGTTCTCCATCTGAAATATCTTCAACATCACCGTCATTATCATTATTCGTCTCAAAATCTAAAGAAGAAAGATCTTTGTTTTTGTCAATAATTTTAGATTTATGTGCCCGTTTTTTTGCGTCTAATCCACTGTCAATAGAACTGTCTTCACTCATATAACTGTTATCGTTGTTATCAAAATTTGAGGCAAGGATATTTTGGAAGTTATTAAATGTTGGACTGTCACTAATATTACTTAAAACATCTGAACTATCAGAAAATTTTGTACGAGCCCAACGGCCTCGCGGTTTAGGGGCTGGAAGTAATTTTGAACCCACTTGATTACTACTACTTGAAGGTTGTTCAAAATCGGTTTCATTTATGTAGGACTTCTTTTTTGCCCATAGCGGTAATTGTCCAATTTCAAAAAGCTTTGTATTAGGTTTTTCCGCCGTGTCTAAAATAAATTTCATTCTTGACGCGTTATAGTAATCTTCATTCACAATAGAATTCGCTGTGCTTCCACTAGATTCCATATTTTCTGATACAGGACGAATTTGATACTGTGCAAGAAGAGATTTTCCACTTCTACCTTTTTGTTGAGACAATCTTGCTTGCATTGTAATAATCATTTCATGAGGCATTTCCCAGATAAAAATACAGCTATCGCCACTTGCAGACACTAAATATCTATAAAATTGAAAAAACTTTGAAAAAAGTACATAAGTGCACAATAATCATCAATTTTTAATACCTGCAATCTACTGTAAATTTTAATCCAGTCACTAGTTCACTGTGACCATGCATACGAGCCATACACTCGCTCGAATAATAATCATAAATAGACAAAGTTTTATCAGTGCAGGAAGTTGCTATGTAAATTCCAGTGGGATCCAAACTTAACTTAATTAATCCTCCATCTTCAGACATTGATCCTTTAAAGGTTTTAGTATGTTTTGCGTTTTGCGTTGTATAAATTCGTATATTTCGATCTTGGCAAGCTGTTAGAACATGTTTACCTTTATTATCCACCTCCATATCATATAACGTAGTTTTTCCGGAACAGTTTGTGTCCCTTATAAATTGATTATGTTGAAAGTGTCTAAATAAAATAGATTTATCAGCTCCACATGAAATCATTTGAATATCATTTTTCTTTCCAATAAATTTAACGGATGTAATACTACTTGAATGATCATCTAGAGTTTGCAAAAGTTGATAGTCTTGCTCCATGTCAAAGACATGGATTAATCGGTCTCGACTGGCACTTGCTAATAAACGCCTTTCAATTCCACCATGGGTGTACTCCAAGCATAAGACTTCTGAATCATGTGCTTCTATCGTTTTAATCAAAGTTAGGTTATAGAGAGAGTATATTCTTATATTTCCATTTCGATCCCCAGTTGCCAAATGATTTTGACACGGACTTACTTTAACGCAACGAACCCCATTCCTTCCATCGTAGCTACTATTTTTATCGGAACCAAAAATTAAATTGTCGTTATCTTTTAAAAAATTCAAATGTTCATCAATATACAGAGCCTTTAACAACTCTTTACTATAAATATTTGCGGGAAATGTACTATTCCGATAGTTATTTTCTAGGCCCCAAAATCGTATAGTATCATCTGAAGAACATGTCAAAAAACAATTATCGGGTCTAATATGTGGTTCATCACAGTCTGGTAATGTTTCAACACCCCATATGCAGGCTGAATGATATAAAAATGACTGACTCTTTCCAACCCGATTAATATCCCTTAAATCCCAAACGTAAATACTATGATCATTATAAACACAAAACGCTTTTGATCGAGAATCATCAAAAACCATCGCCAACGTATCAGGATACTTTGCATCTGTCGGGGCAGAGGTTATATGATTGATGGACGTTCCTAGTCCAACGTCAACACCCAAATAGTGCGTTCTAGGTAATGTAGTAATATACTCTAATGTAACACAGTTGAATATTCTTATAATTGCTTCTGAACATCCAACTAAAATATAATGTGAAGTAACACTAATACAATTCGCCGAAGCTGATCGACATGCCACCCATTTGTCAAGTAATCTTCTTGAATTAAACTCTACCAGATGACCACTTTTTGTTATAGCATATGTGCTTCCACTTATTTCATTTTTACTGCAACATACCCCACAAAAATCGTTGTTTCTCAATTCTCCTAAGATAGCGCTTCGTCCCATTAAAGGAATAGGCTCTTTACTCTAAAAAAGCAAATAACGTAAAAAGACTGAGTTACGTATTCTTTGTTTCCATACCTTTCGGAATCCTTCCAAGTACCAAAACTTAACATGCCGATTACCAACGGTAACAAAGTAATTTCCATCACTACTAAAAGACATGCCAGTCACCTTAGCACTAACTTTGTTTGAAGCTATTTTCAAATTTAATTTCCAATCAAAAACGTTTATAATCATATCATGTTGGGAACCCACTGAAACCAAAAATTTTCCATTTGGCGAAAAAGCCTTCAAAAATACAGAAATATACATTTTAAAAAAAATTAAAAAAACGTACCTAACATATTAATAAAATTCAAGCAAACTTACAACACACGCAATAGCGTATTTGTGCCCTAAAAATTCACCAATTAAATTTCCTCCAAGATTTTCCGAACTTTCAAGAGAAGTATTTAATTCCCATATTTTTATGGTTGGATTAATTCCGCATTCTCCTGTGGCTAAATATCTTTCGCATTTTGAGTAAGATAATGCCGTAATAGCTTTTTTAGAAGAATTTATAATGTAAGATTGACTATGTTTTTTTAAATTATATAACACTACCGTGCATCTGTAATTAAAATTTTTAAGCAGAATTGTTTTTTAAATGAAAATTAAATTATGAAAATTTACAATACTTTAAGAGTATTCTATAAGTATTATATAAGTAAGGCGATTCACTAGTGCTTTAGCTTTTTAAATTAAAATTTATTTGCTTTCATATTAAGTATCTTATTTAATGCGGAATTTTCTGATTACGAATGGTTTAATAGAAGCATTTATTTAGAAAAAATCAAAAGCTAATTAATATATTTAGAGAAAACAAAATAAATTTCAAAAATTACCTGTAATAGTATATCGGTAATCTAGAGTCTAGACTATTTAAAATGATATTGAGGAATGTATTTTAAGTTTCTCAAATAGCATAACTCAAATTATGTAAATATCTTGTAACCTAACTTACAAATAATTAAAATAAAACCTATTCTAAATTGTATTTATAATTTTAAAAAATCTGAATTTAACATTGACAAAATTTTGAGAATAAGAGTATATTTTTCCTTACCCTGCTGGATAGGCAACAACACCTGAAGTAGATGCTAAATCTAAAGCTGAGCTGCTACATACTGTAACTCCATATACTTTTTTTAGTTTTACCTAACATAAATGTAATCAATTATTTTTATTGTAATTAATTGGTTTTTCTTACCCTTTCGGTCAAGCTTTCATTTGAACTTCTTTTGATTCTTAAAAATTTATTGAAATCTGTAAATTCCATATCATTTAACTATAATATATGAACTCTTAATACACAGAAAATATAGAAAACTGAAAAAAAGTTACAGTTAAAATATTAATAAGTAAATATTAAAAGCAAAAAAATTCGATAAAATATGACCAATTTTATTTGAATTATACTTTAATTGCATCTAGCCTAGTTTTTCAAATTGTACGTCCATGTAAATTATTTGTTAATATTTAAATTTGTAATTAACATAAAAGCACACTCATATGTTACATATAATACATATATACACGCAACCATATGCGTTTATAATAAATGGCACATAGTTGTTTTGTTTTTTAATATGCGCTCTCAAGAGTTTAAAAATTTATGTAGTACCTATGTGGAAACATACTCACTATCAAAATAATAAACAAATATTATATATTCAAGGTCAACATTATAGTAAAAAATTTAAATCAATATGAATTTCTTGTGATCACATCATAAATATAAAAATTTTTTATAAATATATATGGATGATATTCACTTATAATCAAGAAATACTGTTTAAATTTCAAATTTTAAACTTTATTTTTTGACTTATAATGTTTGCCATTATTTAAAAAAAATGTAGGTATAAGATAAAATTAGATCAACAACTAAATATAGAAGAGACGATTTACTTGTTTCTATAGAAGCAAACTTGATAGGCAAGATGTAGCAAAGGGTGTCACCTCCATTAACAAGTTCTTAATCTTATCAAAAATTCTGACAAAAATATTATACACAAAATGTTAAATCAAAGAAGTTATAAGTTTTTCAAACATATGCTTGCAGGAAAATATAATACAATTTATAAAATTTTATATTTACTAAATTTGGTGCTGATACGCCTCTTTCAATTAAATTCATGGGTAGATTACTAGGTAGGTATTTAGTTATGTAGGTATATCATTTACGTTTTATTGGCCATGAATCTTATATTTACATATTATTGAAAAATCGAAATGAAATAAATTCAATAACTTAAGAATTTAATTTTTGTTAACTCAAAAAATTTTTAGGTTTTCTTTATATACACTGTAAAATTTGCCGACGAATAATTTAGTTAAAAACGTTGTCTTTTTATTAGACGGACATACTTATTTGGAAGTTTCTTTTAATTCAATTTGTTTTACCGTTCTATACTGCGAAAATATACTTACCTAAAATAAAAACAAAAATTATTTACAAATTGAAAATAATTTAGAAAAAATTATAATAATAAAATAATTATATTTTAAATTATTTGTTGTGTTTACATCAATTTGTCTCAAATCATTTTATAAAAATAAAAGTCAAATTACGTAGGACGGTTCTTAAAGGGCGATGTTCAGAAATAATTTTGACATTTCAGAAAATGAAAGGGTTTTTGGCATTATTTCAACAAAATCTGAACGGAACTAAATTCACAATAGCATCCATGTTTATAAACTTAAACCAAGATTTATTTCTTGACTAATTTTTAAAAATGTTTTAAAGTTTATTTTCAGCTGCAAAGAAATACATCTCCAAACTAATACAATATTAGACTTCAAAAATAAATACAAAATCATTAAATTTTTTAATGATTTAAAAAATAAATACAAAATTACGTCTTTCACGGCACTAATGTACACATTCCAAGAGTAACGACTTCTTTCAAAAATATCTTTTTATGATCTTCTTAAAAAATAAGTACTTAATATAATCTTTTTTATATTCTTTTCGACTTCTCTAATTTTTAATCTTGTTATTAAATTAGAAAATGAAATTAAAAATTAAAAAATATCCAAATAAAACATAAGAAAAAGTAATATGTATGTCATTTTTTTACATACATATGATAAAGAGTAAATATTAAATGTAAAGTAAATAAAAAAATCCAAATTAATTTCCAAAAACTTTTAGCTATCAAAAAATATGTTCTTCTTCTGTATTTACTGTTTATGCTTGATAAATATTTTGAAAGTTGACGTTTTTTATAAAATTTTTGAAAGTTTTCTCAACTTTTCTGTTTGGTTTACTTTTTTTTGAAACGTAAATTTGTTTTTTTTTTCGCGAGAAATTACGACATTGCTTTTTTTTAAAGTTTTTTCAAGTTTTATCATTTAATAGTATAATTAATGTCTTTATGTTTAACAAGTCCCAATGCTCAGAGAGAAACTTGAAAGCACGACCTTATTTTATATGGGTTTATTTTTTTAAATCGAGGTGGCTATTTTTTGAGAAGATATATTAAAATAAATTAACACTTATTATAAAGCAGGTAAAATTTAGAAAATATATTTCAAAAATCAAGAAAATATATTAATATTTTCATTCATAATTATTTTAAAATTCTTAAAACAGAGGAAAAACAACAAGCACAACTTTCGCGAGTGAATACTCATTTTTCATGTGTATAATATTTTAATTAAACTTATATGCTTCATAATTCATAACAATTACTGCATATGTGAATTCTTTTTATATTAATATCGATATAATTTTTTTAGATATTATAGTTTATAGGTGATTATAGTTTTATTAGGAATTATTTTCACATTGTTAGTAAGGCTAATTATCTAAAAAGCTTGTTTTTATATAGGGATAATTTGAAATTACGCATCTTTTATAACGATTATAAAATTTTAAAAGCACTTTCATAATTATAAAACTAAAAATCAAGTAATTACAAACTTAAATTAAAATCACATAAAATTTTTATTAACTTTATTTTAAGTCGTGTGTTCTAGACTAAAAAATATAGCACCAAATTTTTTTTATTCACAGTATTATCATTTTTTACTCTCAATTCTCTCAGATATCTTGTCTTACATGGCGGTACAAAAAAAAAGCGTAAAAACTCGAAAATATATTTAATCAAAATTATAGTTAAAATTTTGAGTTAAAACTTGAATTTTTGAAATGTTGTTCAGAAAACTCCAAATTCCATGTTAGTATAAAATTTTTTTTTAGTTTTTAGTCAACTTTGCGTATAGAAAACTCGAAATGAAAATAGGCAAAAATCATAATTTTCCTAAAAAAACAACAAAAAAAATAATTCTTCAAAACTGTCGTTTCGCCAAAAGTACATATGCAATTTTATAAATACATTCACAAAAAAAGCAGGATCCAGGCCTTGATTTTTTGTAATATCAAGGTAATACACCTTCTGTATGCAAATCAGGGCTGTCGTTTGATTTTGTTCGATCGACTTCAATTAAAATGTCAAAACTGCAATATCATCATCTATTGAAAAAAAATTCTATACAAACATATTACATATGGCGTCGACGAATTTTCGTAAGTTTGTTTATTTGAAACTTTAGTTGACTAATGATTAACTTGACAAAAAGATAGATGGCAGGTTTTGAATTAGCAGAAAACAGTATACGCCAAGGTTTTGTCAAAAAAGTTTTAAATATTGTAAAAAAACAGTTTGGTCTTGTCTTATAACTAAATCCGGTATAGTCTTTATTTAAAGAACAGTAAAATCTCTCAAAAAAAAACGAAAATTTTAAATTTTAATGTCGTATCAGGAACAATGTCGCAAGCCAAATAAAAATGGTCCAAATTTATATCATGTCGTAACTCAAAATGTCGTATTAGAAGATGTCGTATCTCGAGGACTTAGTGTATTTATTATTCACTTTACTAAATTTTCCACATATTTTCTATGAACGCGATACACATACATGGTACATATGCAAATGATTTTTTACTCCTTTATTTTTCCTTTTTCTTTTATATATACATACTTTACATTTGACATTTACTCTTTGTCATATGTATACCATTTTTGTCTCTTACTTTTTCTTATGTTTTATTTGTTATTCGTTTTTTAATTCCATTTCTAAATTTAGTAACAAGAAAGGGGAAAAAATTAAGGAAGTTGAAAAGAATTTAAAAAAGAGTATATGAAATACTTATTTTTAAAAAAGGTCATAAGTTTTGCTTTATTTTTTGTATGAAAACGGCCTTAAGACGCTGTTGCTTCGTAACTGATAGTTGCTTAGGTACAGCTAAATGTTCTTTTTATTTACGCATATTGGCAATATGCTTAATGCTTGATCTAAACAATGGATGTCTGATATTTTTATCTTTGAAAGAGGTCGTTACTCTTGGAATGTGCACATTAGTACCGTGAGAGATGCTTTTCCAATGCAAATTGTGCATTTTGCTTAAGCTGCACCCGGATGAAATGTAGGTGACTCGAAATTAAATATGTGTACAACAATAAACAACTTCAAAGGTGTTTAAAACAAAATATTTGAACTGCAAAAAATTAAAAACAGCATTTTAAAAAACGTTTTATTATTTTTAAATTTATCTTCAAATTTAAAAAAAAAAAATATATATATATATATTTCTTGCTAATAAAATTAATATTTTTAATATTTAAAAAACAAATGTACAAGTAAAGCCAACTTCAAGATTTTACCACTAAATGAAATGTAATTTTTAAATTGGTAATGTAAATAGTTTCTAAAACATAAAATTTGGTATTGTCAATTTGACATAAAAGTACACTGCATTTTATTGGAGTGTAATTTATGTTAGTGTCTCTTTTTTCAAGAAATATATGAACGCTAGCTATCAATGTATTGTTAGATCCATTGAAGCTTATAATTTTGGAGTTCGTTTCGAAACTTTTGTTAATATCTAGTTTAGAAAAATTTTTAGATGTAGAACAAAGGTATTCTGTTGAAGATGGCTTAAAATTGTAACATTCTAAACGCTTCTCGCTTTCAAAAGCGTCGCTATAATGATTTTCATAAATAAGTCAATCAAGTTGTTAACTAAATTCTTTCCTTTTTCTTTAAAATCCTCTTTTTGTCGGGTTGTCAGCCATTGAAGGCTATAAATTTTTGGTAAAATTCCGTGTAATACTAATTCAAAACGGTAAAAAGCGGGCAATATGAAACTTAATATATCATATCCTAATACAGGATGTCAAAAACTGTTTGAAGTGGTGGATGATCATAAATTGCGTATTTTCTATGAAAAACGCATGGGAGCTCAAGTTGAAGCAGATGTCTTGGGAGACGAATGGAAAGGATATATTCTAAAAATTACTGGTGGAAATGACAAACAAGGATTCCCCATGAAACAAGGTGTCTTAACTCATGGTCGTGTTCGTTTATTATTAAAAAAGGGACACTCTTGTTATCGTCCAAGAAGAACTGGTGAACGAAAGCGAAAGTCTGTGAGAGGTTGCATAGTTGATGCAAATATGTCAGTTCTTGCTTTAGTAGTTGTTCGTAAAGGCGAGAAAGAGATCCCAGGATTAACTGACAACATTATTCCACGTCGCTTAGGGCCTAAGAGAGCCAGTAAAATCCGCAAATTGTATAATTTATCGAAAGAAGATGATGTGAGGAGATACGTAGTAAGACGCCCATTACCTGAAAAAGATGGTAAAAAGGCGAGATCAAAAGCCCCCAAAATTCAAAGACTAGTGACTCCAGTTACTTTGCAAAGAAAACGGAGACGTCTAGCATTGAAGAAAAAACGACAATTAGCTTCGAAAGAAGCCGCAGCTGAATATGCCAAGCTTCTTGCGCAACGTAAGAAGGAATTTAAAGCTAAAAAAGAAGAATTGAAACGTAAGCGTTCGGCTTCATTAAGAGAATCTAGGAGCTCAGTTTCAAGCGATAAAAAATAAAATAAATATTGAAAGTCTTGTTTGAAGTTGATAAAATAAATATTTTTTATTGCTAGAATTGAATATTGTTTCAAAACATACCTAACCTATAAATAATCGCATGGTTATAAATATTTTGATTAAGGCCAACATCCGAAAACTCAAAGTTTGTGAGCAATTGATAAAATAAGATGAATTTGGAAATGCACATTCAGTTGTTATAGGTCAAATTTTTTTTTATGTTAACTTAGTTTGTTGCTGTAAAATTTAAATGCATTTTTGGGAATAATATAGGGGCTCACTTAGAAAATTTTTGAGTATGTGAAAAAAAAAATATAAACATTGAAATTGGGCAATTTTTCAAAATTTTCATAAGTATACCAAAATTGGTGTAACTGCAATAAATATTTTAACAATCAAAAACTTCTAAATCTAGGTAGTTCCGTTCTATGAGAATGATAAGAATCTTAGTGATGTAAAATATTGTAGATGTATAATCTAAGATTTAAAATATTGTAGATTTTAAGATTAAAAATTTGAGAAAATAGTCTATTGAACCAATCATTGAAAAAACTTATGTAGCAATATTTTGATTCAAAGACCCATGTTTGGTATTAGCCACATTTTTTGCAATTGTGTTAGATAAAAAATCAATAACCTTCTATATTTTTTTAATAATTTAAGATTACATTGTTTAAATTAATCTACACCCCAGAATCTCTTGTCAACCTTAATTGCTAAAAAATTTCTCCACACGCCAAAAACTAAAGGTTAAAAGAACCGCATTTTTACAAAATTCTTTTAAACCTTTTTAAGCGACTATTTTCTTTGTTATTGAAATATTTATTGAATCTTGGCGGTTTGGGGTAGTAAAATTTAGGAAAATAAAATAAAACTAGTTAATTGAATCCATTAATTGGCTTTAAAAGCATTAATTATGCTTTTCTATCTTGAACTGTAGATTAGTTTTGTAAACAATTGGAGAGAAGGAGTAAAACCTAACATTATGTATTTTTATTATTATTATTACTGAAGGTTCCATTGGTTTCGTAAAATCAAGGTATTTACACAGATTCTATTTATACTTTGCCGTTAAAATTTTTACCGCAATGTTTTAATGGTTGTTATCTATTAACTGGCAAAAAAATTTAGAACAAAAATTTTCTATTGTAGTGTTTTTTTAAAAATTTTTTTTCCGTTATTTTTAAAATCTGATGATAATCGCATGTTTCTATTTATCAGATTTTATTTGATGCCAGACTTCGATTACAAATCAGGTTATAATCAGACACCTAACGTTGCTTCCATAGGTTATTATTAAATGCACCACAAAATTGGTAAATTGGACTACTTGTTTATTATTTTTTCAAATATTTAAAATTAGCTTTTGGACGTCTATGGCAGCTACCTGAACTTGTCAAGCAATCCAACCGAAACTTCAGAAAAATATCTGGCCCATAATTGGACACAAGATTGCCAAGTTTCTTGAATGTGACTTTATTATTTTTCCAAGTATTTAAATTAACTTTTGGAGTTTTTATGGCAGTCACCCGAACTCGTGCAGCCATCCCATTAAAAGTTTTAGAGTGTAGAAAGTAATTGGACACATGTATACAAAATTTCGTATATGCACATACATATGTACATATATACTTTTATTAGCTTTTGAAATATTTAAAATAAACTCTTTGAATTGTATAAATTCGTCCTCGGCACAAAAGAAACAACTTGTAAAAGTTTGGTGTCGACTGTATTATTCGTTTTTGAGTTATCGAATTGAGCGATCGGACGGACGAACGTACATATACATATGTATAAATCAACGCAGAATTTCACGCTGAGCAAGAATATACATATATACATGTTCATACCGCAGATCCACTCTTTCAAGTGGAACCTGACTATACAAACTCAATACCAAAGGTGCAGGGTACAAAAATCTTCCAGGCTCAGTTCACTTTTAAGATTTCAATGAATGATGCATTTTTTTTTTCGAAGTATTAAGTTGATTTTTCTGCATTTTTGCAAATTTGAGAAAATGTACGTTTGACATTAAAAAGTTTCTTATATAATCTTATATGTATTTCTGTCAACAGTGGTTTTTCTATCCATTCTGATTGCTAAATTTCAGACATGCTTTATTTTTGCAATTTTCAGAATTTCAAAATTTCGGCGTTTGTCTAGTCAGACATTTGATACATTTCTGTCATAGATTCTGTTTTACAAAAAAATTAGATGCGTTGAGAATTGGTGTACACGGTTAATAGAAATACAGGCCTAGACCCTAAGAGAGAGTGACAGTTCACAGCTAACGAATTTACACGTATTCTTATGGGATCTATAAAAGGCCCTTTTTAACATCATAAATCTGCCACAAGGTCAACTTTTTTGAAAATTTCAATCTTTCATTCTTAAGTTTTGTGTTATTAAAACATTAAAAAATTGATTTAAAAAAAATCCTTCTAGGTTCCGTTTATTTTTTTAAGATTTCAATAAATGAAATGCTCCTATACTACAGAAAAAAATTGTGCAATTTTTTTTTCCGAAGTATTTAGTTAGTATTTAGCTGGTGTATTTTTTCAAATTTGAGAAAATGCACATTTGAAATTAACAAGTTTGCTTATTTTGTGTGATATATCTCCCAAAATGTCTACTTCTGATATAATCAGAAATGTCATTTCGCAAAAAATACATATACAATTTTACAAAAAAAGGAGATTCCTGTCACCGATATCTTTATATGATTCATCATCGTACATTATTGGAGTCTATGGTCCAGTCCAGGCCTTGATTTTTTGTAATGACAAGGTGTAGATCATTATTTTTATTTACATTATTTTTACAATTATGTTAGATACTGTTTACATATGCATACCTATTACAAAATCTAAAATTAAATCTACGATAAAATCAAACGACCATTTTTATATCTACATTATCATATTTTAAAAGTCTCACAGAAAATATAATGAAAATGTATTCTGCGTTCTATTTGCGTTTTTCTGCGTTGATCCGATAGACCTTGACTTAGAAATCGAGAAGCGGGTTCAAAGACTGAAAATGACAAATTAATTTATAATGCTTCTCAAGTCGATTTACAATGTCAAAGTAATATCAGTTTTATTCATTTTATTTTAAACTAATTTGTAAAGCTTGTACATATATTTTGTGAAACAAGCAAAATGGAAAAACATTTGTAAAACGCAAATTATGATAAAATAAAATAAGTTACAATTAGTGTACAAGGCTTAGTTAACGCAACATAATATGTATATGTACGTATTTTATATAACAAAAATTGCTAACATTGTATAAGTTTTAAAGTAATGGAACAGAGAAATAAACTGTTTAAAGCTCACTTAGCAGTTGGAGAAATTTATTCATATATTTTTCACTGTATACCATTTTTTTATATTTGTTTTTGGATTTGTTAGGACTTGGCTCATTTTTTTTTAAATTTCGCTTATAGAATTTATTGAGAGTGGCAACATTGTTCACAAATAAGATATGTTTGCAGCTTTGTACATTTACAAAATACAATAAAATAAAACAAAGTAAAGACCTTAGTTAACGGAACATATTTGTCCATATCTAAAAGAAGTGTGTTATAATTATTACACATATGTATAAAGCAATAAAAAAATAAAACTAAAGTGAAACGCTTAAGCTTAGTTCATTACTGTAGAAATTTTATTATCACAAATTTTTTTAAGAAATGAGTTTTGGTGGTGGAAGAGGTGCATTATTGCGTGCACTTTGTGATTCTCAAAGTTCTTCTTCTGGTGAAGAAACAAGTAAAGACAAAACGCCATCAGGAGATAGTGGTTTAATACTGGGGAGTAGCACTAAATTATTTGTTGGTCGAGGTCGTGCAGAATTATCTGATTCAACTTCAGAAGGACTCTCAATAACAGGCCGTGGTCGCGCTGCATTATTAAATACTACCCCATCATCGTCTGGGATTTCAGTTGCAAGAGGTAGGGGCTCGTTATTCAGATCTTGCGAGTTAAAAGTCCAATCAACCGCATCTCGATCTTCAACTGAGGACAATATTATTGACAGAGTGGAAAAATTGGAATTATCAGAATATTCCACTTCAACACCAACCACAACACCTGTTCCTATTCCAACTCAACACGTCAAAGCAGGTCAAAATATACAACCAGTTGTAAAGAAAGGCACTTACGGTAAATTTCGTAGTTTTCAATGAAAAATTGGCGAGTTAATGTTTTTTCTTTCCTTAGGAACTCAGGTTAAAACCATTTGTAATTACATTCGTCTTACATCTGACCCGAACAAAGGGGTATTCGAATACGAAGTAAAGTTTGTACCTAATGTTGACTCAAGAAATTTAAGGATAAAATACCTCAATGATCACAGAAGTAAGTTTGGAGGCACGAAAACTTTTGATGGTGTGACGTTATATTTACCAATCATGCTGCCACAATGTGAAACAACATATACTTCCCAAAATGTTGACGGAACACCTATCGAGATAAAGTTAATTTACAAACGCAAAAAGCCATTACGAGATTGTGTCCATTTGTACAATATTCTTTTTGACAGAATAATGAAAACATTAAATTTTGTGAGGCATAATAGAAAGCAGTTTGATCCAACTGCTCCAAAAATAATCCCTCAACATAAATTAGAAGTTTGGCCGGGATATGTTACAGCCGTTGATGAGTATGAGGGAGGAGTAATGTTATGCTGCGATGTTTCTCATAGAATTTTATCAAGCACCACAGTTTTAGAAATACTCGAAGAAACGTACAGAACAAATCCTACGGGTTTTCAGGAGAATGCGAAAAAAGCTTTAATAGGATCAATTGTGTTGACAAGATATAATAACAAAACTTATCGGATTGACGATATTGATTTTACTTCAAACCCTATGTCAACATTTATGGCTGGGGAAAAAACTATGTCTTTTGAAGAATATTATAGAACTCAATACAACATTAATATTCGTGATGTAAATCAACCGCTACTCACAAGTATTAAGAAGAGGCGTGTGAGCAACAAAGAGAATCCTGAAGAAATAATTTTTTCACTCATACCTGAAATATGTTACCTTACAGGTTTAACAGATCATATGAGATCTAATTTTAAAGTAATGAAAGATATCGCTACTTATACTCGTGTGACTCCTAATCAAAGAGTATTAGCTTTGGAAAAATTTATTAAAAGTGTGAATGAAAACAAGGATGCTAGAGAAATATTAAGCGATTGGGGTCTTTCATTAGATAATGAAACAGTAAAACTAATGGGTCGTCAATTAGGAACAGAGCAAATTTTATTTGCCAAGAGAAAAGTGGATGCTGGAGTGAATGCAGATTTCGGAAAACATGCAACAAGCAATGAACTTTTGGATGTGGTTAATTTTACAAATTGGATATTAATGTTTACAAATAATGATACAAAAATTGCAAATTCATTCTTGGATTTTCTGGAAAGAAACTCTCGTCCAATGGGAATTGAGGTGCGGAAACCAAAAACGATAATACTAAGACAGGATAAGACTGAAGAGTATGTTTCTGCACTAAGAAAATGTATATCTAGCGAAACTCAAATTGTAGTTGTGATATGTCCAACATCAAGAGATGATCGTTACGCTGCCATTAAAAAAATCTGCTGTGTAGAAAATCCGGTGCCCTCTCAAGTTTGTGCTTTATATCTTTTTAAACGTTCATAATTAATATTTTCTTTATTTTTAAAAATTATCTTGTAAATAGGTTATTAACGCCCGAACATTAAAAAATGACGCGAAAAATAGATCAATAGTCCAAAAGATAGCCTTACAAATGAATTGCAAAATGGGGGGAACTTTATGGAGCATACGTATTCCTTTTAAAAACGTAATGATTTGTGGAATAGATTCCTATCATGACAATGTAAATAAATCGAATTCTGTGTCAGCATTCGTTGCTTCTTTGAATTTTAACTACACAAGATGGTATAGCAGAGCTATCATTCAAACAAAAGGAGAGGAAATAGTAAATGGTTTATGCGTTTCACTTGAAAAGGCTTTAACTGCTTATGAAAATGTTAATCGGACTTTGCCTGATAAAATAATTATATTTAGGTAATAAAAAAATTTAAATTCTTCAAAATAATATAATTGTACAAATTTTCTTATAGAGATGGTGTTGGAGATGGGCAACTAAAAGTTGTTTCTGAATACGAAATACCTCAATTGAAAAAATCCTGTAAAATAGGAAGGGAAAACTACGAACCTCTTTTTACATATGTGGTTGTGCAAAAACGGATCAATACACGAATTTTTACGGTAATTTTGTTTTACACTCACCAACGTGCAAAGTATATACTTATAAGATTATGTTTGTATCACTACAAATTCTTCTTTTCATGCTTATAGGAAAACGGAGAAGTGAAAAACCCAGAACCTGGGTTTGTAGTTGACCATGAAGTTACAAGAAGGTATATGTATGACTTCTTCCTAGTATCTCAGTCTATCCGGGAGGGTACAGTAAGTCCGTGCCATTATATTGTTGTGTGCGATTCAGCAAATTATTCTCCCGATATTCTTCAACGTTTAAGCTACAAATTATGTTTTTTGTATTATAATTGGCCCGGTACAATTACAGTTCCTGCATGTTGCCAGGTAATTTTTTATTTAAAAAATTTCAACAATTTTAGTTAAACTTTTATTTTAGTATGCCCATAAAATGGCATTCTTAGTTGGACAAAGTATTAAGAAACCGACATCTGAAACTCTATCCGATTTACTTTTTTACTTATAAAATATTTTGCCTTCGTTTACTTTATTTTTACAAAAATGGCGCGTTGAGGCTAAAATGTTAAATAAAAAGTAATACATATTTCATAAATGTAATAAAGTTGAATATGATGTATACTTAATATATATTGATAAAAAATACTTAATTTTTATCAATGTATGCACATACACATGTACATAAGTTTTTTAAAAAAATTAATGCACCATGAGTACAGTAATAATTTGTGAATTAAATTGAATTTTTTATTTTATTTTTTTGCAAACAATACAAAAAATATTTGTATTTCATTATGTACGACAGCATAATTTTTGTGCAATTTGTTCAAAATATATTTTATTAGATTAAGACTTAACATAAAAACTTGACTACAAAAATTTTTAATAAAAATTTCCAAAAAATTTATATGAATTTCACAAAAGAATAGTTTTTTATATTCGTAGCATATTAAATGTTTTAAAGTAATTTCTGGAAAAAAAATTCATTAAAATATGTAAGGAAAATATAAGAATTATAAAATGATTGACCTTTTTGGAGACGCAAACTACATCTTCAGCTTGTTCTTGAAATCAATCACTAAGAGCGAAGATATGTCAGCAGAAATTCCAAATTTAAAAATTTTGCCTTAATATCAAAACTGTGGCACATTTCTTGTTTGCTTTTCATAATGATTTTGAAGCAAACTGAAAAGGCATTTTGATCGCCTTTTCAAATGTCATTTGAAAGTTTTTAATATTAAATGGTTTTCAAAGGCTCCGTTAGAACTGAATCACCAAAAACGCCGAAAATTCAGTTGTAGTGAATTTAACTGCTGCGGAAACTAATTTGCACACTAAGTCCTCGAGATACGACATTTTTGGTTTCAGAAATTTGTAACTTGAATTGTCGTTTGAGGAGGAAAAAAATGTATGGAAACAAAAAGTGAATTAGACAAACTATTTTATATTATAATTCTGTTTTTTAAAAAAAAGGTAACAAACTTTAAAAAAAAAACAACAAAATATAATAACGAAACCAAAAGAAATTAATTTTGTAACAAAAATAAGTAAAATTAAAATCTGATTAGGTTGATATACATATGTATATGATTTCAATTCTTATTTTTAACTAGAAAGAGTTCATTATTGAAGTATGTATGTGCTTCAGACTTGTCTTATAGCTAAATTCAGTTTTATTGAAAAATCAGTAAAATCTGTCAAAAACAAAAAAAGTTTTTAAATTTTAATGTCATATCAGGAACAACGTCGCAAGCCGAATAAAAATGGTTCAAATTTGTATCATGTCGTAACTCGAAATGTCTTATTAGAAGATCTCGAGGACTTAGTGAAAAAAAAATAATTTACAGAATTGATTAAGATAAGTTCTTTTAAGTTTTGTTTTACTTTAATAAAAAATTTAAACTTATATTTCATTGAACTGGATATAATAAAATATGTACATATTTAAATTCGTGGTGTCATTTTTGGAACTAAAACTTGTCGTCGAACTACCAAGGTCCTTCATAAGATTAACCCGCCTCAGAACCCTTCCATCTAAGCAGTAGGTATAAAGCAAAAAACTAAAAAAATACTAAAAACAACATTAGAATTCCCTGCATCTGAATGAAAACGAGATCCCAAAAACCATTTAAAACACCATTAATCTGATGAAGATTGCAACACGCACCACAATGAAAAAAATCAGATATCCAACCAGAGAACCACTGGAAACAATGAAAATGTCATCAAAATCAGAAAAATTCAATCTCCGCCAGAAAAAGAGTATGAACAACTTCTGCAGTCAACTCACTTGCTCACTTTTTGAACCGTGCAAACTTGGGGAACAGTACCTCAACACAAACAAATTCGAAATTTTTGTTTTATGTATTTACATACATAGGGTAGAAGCACTAGTGGCCGAACAGTTAACACATTTTCTAACTTTAACTTTATATTATTTTTTAACTACGAGACATAAGGCAAATATTTAAAATGTTTCTAAAAGCGGAAAAAATTCTCAATAGCATTAAATATGTCAAAAAATTGTTGAAATAATTAAATTTTTTTAAAAAGTATCACTTTTTCTAGTATCCGAACACTAAAATTTAGTTGCCGAACACTTTTATTCTAGTATCCGAACACACAAATTTTCTTGATATATAGGTGCTTTTCTATTAAAAAATTAACTAATTAAATAAATTAAGGTTTTATTTTAATATAAGTTTTATTATCTAAATATGTTAATCAAGTTTATAATGAAAAAACATTTTGCAAATGCAAGTACATACGTACAATTTTTTTTACATGACACTTCATCGTTAAATCCAAAAAAGGCTAGATGAAAAAGGCTAAATTGAGCTTCAAGAATAAAAACTAAAATAACCAATAACGAATTTTAAGAAACTTTTTGGTTTTCTTTTTTTTATTCTTTCCTCTCTCTATTTTTTAATTGATTTAGCCTTTTTCTGCTTTTATTTTTCTTTTATGTCATAAATTTGCTAGTTTCATCACCATTTAGTTTTGAAGGGTTGTTTATAATATTTATATTCTTGGTTTGTACTTTTTAAGTAGTCTTCTCGATTGTTAAACCATTTCAGTATGCTCTCCTCAGTGTCTGCTGCCCAGTATGCTCTCCTCGTCCTAAAGGAACGTTTACTCGTTTCATAAAGTATGTATTTGGGAGGTCGTCTGTTTTTAAAAGGAAAAGGATTTTTAAAAGGATTTGCATAAGTTAATACATCATTGTGCTTCCTCGTCAGATGTTAAATATGGATTTGGACCAATTTTGGTTGATTGTTCTCTAATTAACCTCTTACTCGTTAATCGATCGAGTAGTGTTTTTGGCCGTAATCCTTATTTGGCAACTAATTTACGAATACTTAAGTTATTGTTACGGATATCTGCGAAAGCTTTAGCTAAAATATCTGTGACCATTATTTAAACAAAAGACAAGGGAATATAGAAATTGATAAATTGATAAATAAAATTAATAAATAATTAATATTAATTAAACTATTAGTAAAAAAATGTTTAGTGTTAACGGAATTGTAAAAATAAAACAGATTATATGTATAAAAATTCCAAAACAATACATTTGTTTAGGCTAAAAAGTTTATGATTCGTAATACGATTTAAATTTAAGACTTAGGATTAAATGTATGGGCAATTTTTTAAGAAAATTTTTTAATAATTAGTTTGAGTAGTTTTTTATAATTCGCCCAATTTCACATAAGTACAAATTTTGTATAGAAAATTAAATAGTAAAAATTTTCTTTAAAAAATTAACACTTCTACATGCAAAATTAATTATATACAAATTTGGTTGTTCGGATACTAAAATATGCATCTTTTTCATATCTTCAGAATCCGAATTTGAAAATATAAAAAAATTTCGGTACCAATATGCGAACTGCAAATATTTAGTTAAAAATTATTCTTTTTTTAACGTTTTATGATTTTTTTAACAAAATTAAGCAAATTCCAATGAAAATATATATACTTATCACTAAATAGACCTTAAAGTATACCAAAAAAACACTTACTTTCCACACAGTTCTACTATTTTTTTTACAAAAAAAACGCCAAATCAAACGCTTTTCACAAAACACTAACACAAACTGACTTATAATTCAAAGAGCATAAAAGTAATTTATTTGAAATTTTACAAGCACTAGCCCAAAACATAAACATTTTTTTTTGCGTTTTTGGTTTGAATGATTTCTTGGGAAAATTTCTTATTTTAATTAAAAAACCAACGAAGTGTTCGGATACTGCAACTGTTCGGAAACTAGTGCCTCTACCCTATATTAGAATCGTTTACATATGTGTAAAATCATAAAATCCTATAACGTACATTTATAAAGATAGTAGTAAAATGCAGATTTATAAAATGTAAAAAATGCACCTACTTCTAACTTAAAAGTTGGTACTTAAAAAGATTATAATCAGAAATCTTAAATACAGATTAAAATTTGCATAAGTATTTATGAATGGATGTATATTTGCATTGCGTGTAGAGATATGTGCATGTACATATAATATTTATGATTGTGTGTACATATGCATATATGGTTATGTACATATAAACATACACCTGTTATATTCTTCCTCATTATAGTGGCTACATGGAAATGAATATTACAAATCTGCATATGTGTAAAAAAAAATATACTGTTTCAAGATTCATGAACCTTATGAACGCAGGTAATTTGGCAAAAATTTTGTAACAATCTTAATATACGTATATTATGCATAAACATATATATACATAAATGAACATAAATATACCATAAATATATATACATATACATATATACTAAGAAATGTATGCGCATTGATTGAATCCGACAATACATCATACATATGTACATCTATATTATACATACGTATGCATGTACATAGAACTTTATTATTCCAATTAAAAATTTCTTTTTAAATACATATTTGTATTTGACTACCCACTTACATGCATATAAACATTTATTTATTAATATTTAGTAAATAAATCTAAAAGTTTTACTTTTAAATTTCCAATCTGCACCTACCTACAAACACATTATTTATATTTTGTGTTCAAAATAACTTAAACGCTATAGCTAAAGCAAAATCTCAACAGTACATACCTACGTACATATTTTGTAGATTTGTACATAAATACATCATTTAAAACGAACGAACTTTGTTAAAATTTTGGATTTTTTTATCACCATGTTTTAATAAAAATTAATCACTCACATTAGTTTATTATTACTCATTGCGAAGGGAAGACATATCAAAAATTATAAAAAAATCATAAATAAATTTTAAATTAATAATAAAATAGGAAGTTATTATATTGAAACATAATAAGTGAAATATTAAAATGGATAAGTAACTTAAATACCTACCTAATATTTAATAAAGTGAAATTAAAATGAAATATATACATACATACATATGTATATATGTATATTGTTTAATTTCAGTGTTTTGAACAGAATATCTGCAGTAACAAAAACATTTTACTTTTTTGGATTAACTTGCTTAATAATACCAATTATTGCAATTTCAGGAGTTCGTAAGTTATTTTTTAACGGTATAAATAGATATCCTCATTATGTATGCAAATAAGAACATTACGGCAAATGTTTGTATGCATGTAAAATGTAATTATACATACATATAAAGATAAATATGTGCAGTTGGCTCAATCAAATGTAAATGTTTATTATATGTAATAAAAAAGAATAATTATAAGAAATTATAAAATTAGAACAAAGTAAAAACAAATTGACAATGTTTTGTATAAAAGTTTGTCAAAATCTTGAATCCATGGATAAATAATGCAATTATAATAATAAAGTAATTGAAAATTATCCTAAAAAATTATCTTAAATATAACTAGTTTTTGATTCATAGGTACATACATATTATATTAATGTACTTAGTCAAATATTAATCAAATAATTGTAGATCGTATTAACATTACATGTTCATACATATGTATCGTATGTATGTATTTAAAAATGTGCATAACTGATTTGATTACATAAGATATATTTGATGTGATGTTTCCCTTAAATAATATTTTCAGAATGTATTTTAACTTTTTAACCGATCTTCAAATTTTTTCCAAAAAATTCTTTTAATCTAAAAATCCATGTACTTACTTACATAGCTACAAATTTATATTTAAATAGACATACAAACGTCGATTTTTAGTTTTAATAAATTCTCAATAAGTAAATTATTATCTTGTTTTGACGAGATGAATGCTAATGGTAATGTAATATACATACTTATGTACGTGCATACGTATACATAATATGTAATAAGTATGTATTACGAAATCGAAAAACGGCTTATCTTTAAGAACATTATCAATTTTCTTTTTTAAATCTAACGTAACATATGTACATACTTATAATTTTGATAAAATTTCGATCTTTGACCATATACAGCACAGGTACATATTTATAACATTATTATACATATAAACTTTTGTAGTATCAAAGAATATATGCATATTCTTTGCCTGTACATAACGTGCGTATATTATGTACATATACGCATATTATGTACAGACAATCTCACAAAAATTTACACATTAAAAAACAATAGCCAATTAATATGTAGGTACTAGATCATATTAAAAATTGCAAAAAAACAGAATGTTCACATTAATCTTCGATTATAATTTAATACTTTATTAAACTTCCTGATTGCAGTTATGAAACTTCTGTTTCCTTTTTGGCATAAATATGTATGAACGTAATTTATCGAATTTAAACTCTTCACCTAATACAAGAACAAGCTTTGGCAGCTAAAACTTCCTTCAACTACATACATACATATACTTATACCAGTACTTTCAAGGTATTAATATTTATTTAATATTATTTTTTTTTTCAGTCCTCTCAGTTTTAAATAAAGTAAATTTAATTATAATGAGTTCGATATATCCAAGATATGATTTTTCAAATACGAAAAAAATGAGAACCTTAATTGACACAAAGAAAAACGCAGCTATATTTCATTTCTTACTAGAAATAAATGGCAAATACGATTTTCAAAAAATTAAGGAGATTTATTTAATGAATTTAGTTGAAAAACGAAATAAATTAGGGGAGTTGAAATTCCCTAAGCTCAGGAAACGCCTGGTTACTTGCTGGTGGCAATATGCTTGGGATAGTGAAAGCAGGTACATACATATATTTATACATATTTAATACATATATAAGTTTTTGAATAAAATTTAAGTTTTAACATTTTGAAGTTTTACATATGTACATAGATATATATACATATGTCATGCATTATGTACATGCTTATATAAGCTGTTTGTCAACATCAAACCGGCAACACCAAGTTTATATATACATCCATGCATATGTATATCTACATACATATTCTATGAATTAGGCAGTCAAGAATTTTTGAAAAAGAAAATAAAACTTACAAAAACAAAAAGTACATAAGCCACCTAAATCGTTTCCAAAGGTCACCTAAAATCAAAAATTAGTCCTAGAATTAAATAGTGTTATATCATTTGTAAGACGGGAAATGTTTGAATATACTAGATTGTGTAAATTCTAAATTCAATTCATCAACCTATTTTTGTTTAAATTTCGCGATACTTATGTACATATGTTTGTATGTACATACTTAAATATTTCAATTTTCAACCCCCATCTGTATATGGAAATCAAAATGAAAATTTAAATGAATCACCCTCTAGCTTGATAGAACATATATACATATGTATGTATATGTATATAAAATCACATACTTAGTCTTAACACAATTTAAAAATTTTAAGGTACTATTCTTCAAAATGTTTATTTTTTTTTATAATCTTTTTATTTACTTAAAGTAAGTTTGATATTAACAAACACATAATTTTAAACCCCGCTCGAACATTTCGTGGCCGTTTTATAACTGAAGCTAATATTCAAGAATTCATAAGCGAACTCGTAACAAAATATATTCCTTCAGATATATCACCATGGCAAGTTATTGTTATACCGCCAATAGCTACAAAGGTACAAACACTAGTAAAATTAAGTGTAAAAACTTTTTGAATTTTAATGATACTTTTCTTTCATAATTTTTCTTTTTCAGAAAGAAACTTATTTCATTTTAGTTAAGGTTCATCATTTACTGATTGCTGACGAACACGATTTACACGTTAGCGACTTATTAATGGTAACTGCTCCAAATCCAATTAAAATGTTTAAAAACGTAACACAGCCTTCTAAATTCGAAACATTAATAGAGCGACCGAAGCATATACCGAATTTGTGGAATCAAATTTATATGTCTGCAGTTAACCGTTGGAATGAGTTTATTTACTATTACGACCCTCTGGAATCTCCAGGTTTTCATTTTTATTTAAAAATAAAACAAAATACATTCTATTAAATATTCTTTTAAGATGTAGATAAAAAGCAGCAAATAACTTGTTTGAGCCAGTTAATATCAATTTTATTCATAACTGTGGTTACAATTATAACTGATTTCATGAAAGGGTATTCAAAAACAAATAATCATATAAAATACAAATTTCGTTATTTAGTTCATCTTTTTGAAAGAGAAACTTCAAAAAGAAATTTAACTATAGAAACCATTGTGGATTCCTTGATAACGACAATGAATCCAATTAATATTTTAAAAAATATGATTCGTTATACTTGGTACTTTTGTACAGCAGCTGTACTATTGACGCCTTATTATATAATAAAAGAATCTTTAGCTCTAAAAGACATAATTATGACTGGTTGGTTAAAATAAACATTGAAAATATTTTATTACATTATGTACTAGATATTTATCTATTTTTTAGGTCATACAGATTTTCAAGAAACTTTATTTGGGATTGCTTCAATTTATTTGCCTTTAATATACTGTGCAACAAAGGAATTTATTCAGATATCGCTTCAATTGCTGAATGCCCCAAAGAACTCTTATGATGAGCTTTTCATATTCAGGAGCAACGAAAAGAATGTTTTGCATACGAAAACTTTTAGTGGTCGCAAAGTAATTGCATTTTCTAAATCGATCGATTTAAGTTTATTTAAAAATAAAAGCGATATTTTAAAAGAAAAATCGGACATAGAACTCGTACTTATCTGCCTATCAAGTGCGCTTAAAAAATATCTTCAAACTTTCGAAAGTGAATTTGGCGAAGCTCCAAAATTTATAAACACAACCTGCAGATCCATTAAAAAAGACTTTTTTGTTGAAAAAAATAATAAGTCTGAAAATGTTGGTGGCGTTTTATTTTTGAACTTACCTCTGATTGAATTCAAAAGCATAGGTGATTTTGAAATTATAACAGATTTAATTGACAGAATTCGTAAAAGGCAAGGTGCAATATATTTAATTTCTGTTGGACAAATAAGATATGACATCATAACGAGAATAATACCAGAAGTATTAATGAAAATTTTAATTAATTATTTTTCTTACAATTACCCGATCACTATAACTGAACTGCATGGTAGTTCTGAAAAAATACACACTTTGTGGGGTCAGGAAGTAGAGGATTTGTTATTCTTCAGACCTCCACAATCTAAAACATGTAAATTTTATATTGTATAAATTCCGAGATTATAATTAATATATTTGTAGGTCTTTCCTTAAACATTCATCGGTTTGGAAACAAAATCAGACTTGCTGTAATGGCTGATACTCATCTTTCCCCAGATCATGCTAAAATTGTTAATTATTTTGAATCTTATATGGAGAGCACAATTTTTTAAAAACCTTATTTAATTATATTAACATTTTTTATTCTCATAAAATATAATAGATATATGTACAATTTTTCATTGATGATAAAAATCGTCACGAAGATACATAAATTGCACTAACATGTTGTATGCCTCTAAATCGAAATCTTCTTCACTTTTATAGAATTGGATAACCTAAAATAATATAAATCTAAAATTTTCAACCTTAATAACTTGTACGTGACGTATGTAGATGTTTTGCTTATTTAAGGAATTTTTTTATCAAAATTACCTCCTTTGCCTTTATAGCATCGTGCCCTACAGGTACTCCCATAATTTCAACCCAATCTTCTTGCCTTGCACTAATTGATTCATTTAAATTAATTCGCAGACTGTGCCCGTCAGTCGATTTGACTTTTAACATTAAGCCGCTATTATTTTCTACCTTTGTGAGTATACTAACATTCCTACCAATAAAATCTTTTAGTTTACCTCCATTTATTATGCTTCTCGCTTCAAAAGCCATTTTGGTCCTAATATAAGTAAACACAACTGTATAAAAAGTTCCCTTAACGATTCTTCAGGATTTGGAAAAAAATTTGAACGATTTTAACAATATTTTAACATTTCCCTCTAAAATCAAACAAACACTAATTTACTGATTTGATTTTTTGAAGTACTTATGTACTAAACTTTCAATTAGTATTGCCACCTGGTATTGCAATTTGTATTGCCTTGCCACCATTTGGTTAGAAAATTGCACAAATTTGAAATAAAAAAGTTTTTAAAAACAGGCATACCAAAAATCGGCTTAAAATTTCAAAATATACCGTGACTTGTTTAGTAAAATTTAGTAAAAGCTCTTGACATTGCACAGTTTTCCCAAATGCATCAAATAGGTAGTGGATACGTAAAATAAAAGTAAATTGGGTATAGAAAAAATCTAACACGCTTTTCGTAAACATGTCATATAAAGGTTGCCAGAAATACCTAATTATATAAACTAGCATATATTTTCAGCAATTAAGTTCTAGTTATTTACTTTTTTTTCTAAACTGCAGCATAAAAATGTTTGTTTTTAATATGGTAACGTTTGTTGAAAACAAACATTTGCACAGAACTTAGAATTGAAAATTTCAAACAAAACGTCAGAGTATGTATTAATATTGTAAAAATTGTATTCCAAAATGTATCGAAAGCTTTTTTTACAAAGTAAAGGTATTGAAAGCTCTGATGCGGTACTACAATCGTATTAATACCGTACTTAAACTTTTTATAGAGCATTATTGAAGTCACGGATACTTTATGATAGTCGACAAGGCCACGTCTCAAATTTAAATACAGAACCTGTTGTATTTTTATTTTGAGGTAAACAGTACCTAAAGAGCATATAGGTACAATTTTCATATGTGACAAAATCCAAAGTGCCTAATAATCTGATTTAATCTACGATTCTGATGAAAATCTAATATGTAATCGAAGTCAGACATCAGATAAAATCTGATAAAAAAAATGGAAACATACCCAGTTTTTATCAGATTTTTAAAAATAACATGGCGGAAAATAAATTTTTAATAAAGTTTTCCCAAGGTCAGCAGATTTTTTTTTTTTTAATTTTAGTTGCCAGTTTATAGGTTACAAATATTAAAAAATAAAAGTAAAAGTAAAAATAGAGTTTGATGTGTAAATGCCCATCAGATTTTATAGTAAATTAAATTGTAAATTAGTCTGATGTTTAACTGGAAACTTAGGCTACTCATACCCAAATTTTGCCAAACCAAAAAACCAAAATATTGCTAATTTTACTACGAAAATTATAACCAAAATAAAAGTCAGCAGATAACTGTTACAAACTTCCACAAAAAATTAATTATCGCTATTTTACTTTAAAAAATTTGACAGTCAAGCCAAAGTGATGAGCATAAAGTAATTTCTATTATTTTCCGTTAGATAAAGTCTGATGTCAAACAGGGTTTACACACTGCCCACCATGTGGGGAGAACAACTCTCATTTTTTTTTATAGTTTTTACACTGGCCTGCTAAGTATATATGATTTTATGATTTTAAAAAAAATGTATAGAGTTTAAATGAAGAAAACAAAAATATCTCCGTTCTTTTATGCATAAAAAAAATACCTAAATATATTTTTATATAACTAAATTTTGTAATTTAATTTTTATGTTTGCAAAAAAAAATGGTCAAAAGAAGGAAGTTTTCAGTCAAAATAAATTTTATTAAAAATATATTTCCTAAAAGTTGTAGAAATTCAATCGATACAGACCTTCCTCATTACTATTTGAAAGGGTACTGAGTAGAGCTGTCGTTTGGCTTCGATTTGAAAATTTCTGTCCCCGGGTCATGCTTTTGCATTTTGGCTCGGATTTTGTTTTTTCCTCAGTCAGAAATTTGTTGACAAAATCTTGGCTAACGAAATTATGTACATATACCTTTTTCTGCTAATTTAAAAGCCGTCACCTATATTTTTGTAGTCAAGTTAATCAATCAGTCAGATAAAGTTTCAAATAACCAAACTTAGGAAAATTCGTCGACATCACCAGATGATATATGTTTATATAGAATTTTTTCAATAGACCATTTTGACATTTTATTTTAATTGGAATTTTGACAAAATATTGTTGAAAACTTGAAAAATATATTCAAAGCTCTTTCAGTTTAGCACATCATAGTTCGGCAGCTGAAAGGATATTTTCTTCTGTTTATATGATTAAAACTAAATTGCGCAACTTCTTTTATGTTGAAATGGAAAGCAACATTTCAAATTCAAAAGAGTTATTTAAAAATGTTGATGCGTAAGACAAAGTTGTGATTTTATTTAAATTTTTAAATTAAGAAAATTTGAAGTACACTCTTTTTTTATTTGAAATATGTTTGTCAACACCATTTTAATCTACATAAAGAAATTAATAAGGCAGCAAACATATGATCAGAAAAACGTTATAAACCTTTTTATGAGGTTTTTTAATAAATATTTTAAGGTATTTTTTGATCATTATAACTAAAGCCTAAACTTTACTAAAAAATGTTCAAATGTATATGAAGTTTCATGTAAAAAATATTATTTCAAATTTAAGTTTTTATTGTGATACTTTTTAATTCGCATTTATTTATTAATTTGTTTATAATTTTTGTTTAAACTTTTAGCTTTGTTTTTTCGGATTTTTTTTTTGTATTCGTACTGTAATAAATTGCTTTTTGGCTTTTTGACTAAATGTAGGAATTGGCTTCACTCTTTTTTAAATGGCTCCCTTTTTTGAATATTTCTGCTCCCCATCAAAAAAATCAAACGATAACCCTGGTACTGAGTCAAATTACGAAACAAAATCTAAATAAATTTTTAAATGAAAAATTTTCATAGCGTAATTTCATGAACTTCTAAGCATTATACAAAACTTTACATGAAAACATGTTTATATCTAAGAAAATATTGGGTATTTTAAATAATCAAAGACAAAATATCTTTGACAAGTCAAAAATTTGAAATCTGCCAAAATAGGATGTTTGATAAAAAAGTACGTTCCAAAATCGTAGCATGGCTTAATTTCTAATACATTGTCAACATTTTTTTTATATGCTGCAAAATTATTTAAAGTTTAAAAAAAAATAGAATAAAAGTAATAGTTTGTTGTTATTTTTAACATTTTTGTATATAGGTATAACTATTATAATTTAACCAATAAATGTGAAAAATTAAAATTTGAATCTATAATTATGCAAAAACATATTATTAAGATTTTTGTTAGAACCTAAAAAGGAGCAATTAAATGCTTGTAATTGGTCATCTTTCTTATAATATACGAAAATAAATATAATAAAATATTAAGCAAGCGAAAGGACTTTGTTCAATAGCTTTTTGCAAAATAAAAAATAATTTCAATAGAAAATTGAGGAGAAACATACGAATCATATTGAAGTTGATCCGATTGAAGCAGTTCGAAAAATTTTTTTAATCTGATAGCCTTCTACTTACCAGGGTAGTGGCATATACAACTTTCACCGAACTCAAATTAAATCGTAGATGGTTAATGTTAATAGTAAGATCAAATCTCAATCTGATGAAAATGTAATGTATCGTATCAACAGTGCTGCCAAGTAGATTAGGCCGAATATCTTCAATTTGAAGGTACGATAAAAAAAATCTTCGCGAACTTCGAAATCATTGTCATGGATTTATCGGTCAAAATATTTTTTGTGAACTTTGAGAAATATAGAAAAGGTGCAAAACATTACAATTTTAAAAAACTTGAGGAGCATTAAAAAACCTTCATTTTGAAGATAAATTTTCACTTTTGAATTGCAAGAAGAACACTCCAAATAAAAGGTTCAAAACAATACACTTCCAAACAATAAAAAATAAGGTCACATAAAGCAAGTCACATAAATCGTTCATTAGGCTTAAATTGAAATGAAAGCGAACATTTTATGTTAAAATTAATTTCGATTACTTAAATTTATTTAAATTATTGTCGAATTCTTCTTTTCGCACCACAATTGAATTTTAAAAATGGCGTTATTTTTATACATTTTTATCCACTAATATCCAATAATAATAATATTCTTTATTATAAAAATAATAAAATATATATAAATAAAAAAAATATATATGTATATGTATATGTAATTAAAGAATAATTCATCTCATAAGAAACATTCAAATTCTAAAAATTAATGATTATCAAACTACTTGTACAGCTAAAAATTAAAGACTCAAATAGTTTGTTTACATTTCGTTGTTTGTCTATGCACGTAAATTTCATTTAAAAACAAATTTTAGTACAATTCGCATAACTTTAGTACAATAATCAATATTTCCCTTTTTCAACAACGTTATTTATAAAACACCTGTTGAAAAATTTTCTTCAGCTGATTCTTTGTTTATTGCACTTACTGATTAAAAAAAAACTTAAAACTGTGTTCAAAAAACAACCAAACAAAAGAAACAAAAAAATCAGCGTTCGTGATTTATTTAAGACAAAAAATTTCTAATTCTCTATACAAATATTTTATATCGTATTCATACATGTACATAATTGTATTAGTTCATTGTTAGAAAATAATTTTGTTATCGGTTGTGTTGATTAAATTAAAAGATGATTATTATATTTTATTGAAAAGTCGTTTTGATTTTAAAATTATTTTTTTTTGGTTTACAATGGAGCCTGTAAATATTACTAGTACTACAACGGCATCAAGGTTTCAAAGGAACAAAATGTTCAGGTTCTTATTGGAGCCAGCAGTATTTTTAATATTTTTCGGGATATATCTATCTGGTAAGTAAATAATGCTTAAATGTAAATAGAAACTTGAAAGACTAAATTTGATTAGTTAATTTTCAGCAACCGTATTTCAAACTCATTTAATGCAAGAAACTTGTAAAAACATTTTTAAATTTAATAGCACTGACTGTGATAAATTGGGAACCGAGGAAATAGAATCAGATAGTACCAAAGTAAGATAATTTTCTACAAATTAATTTTCTGTTACAGGTTATATTTTAAGGCAATAAATTTGGTAACTCAACCATATGTTGCTAAAATATTTATGGTAAAATCAATTATGGAGAGCGTAGTTCCGGCAATTGACAGTTTATTTGTTGGGCCTTGGTCAGATAAATTTGGTAGAAAGCCAGTGATAATAACAGGTCTAGTAGGTGTGCATATTACAAGCATTTTGGAATATTAGTTTACAATTTAAAACTTTTTCATACAGGTTATTTTCTTAGCTTCACTATATTGTCTGTGATAACGTTGTTTTCACTGAGTTTCGTTATATATCCATGGTATTATATAATTGTATGTCTACCAGTTTTAGCTTTAGGCGGAATATGCTGTTTAATATCTGGTATATTATGCTATATAGCTGATGTTTGCAAGCAAGATAACTTGGCGTTTAGGCAATATATTTGCTTTAATTAAACAAAACGGTTAATGATTGCTCTTTAAACAGGTTAGTAACAAACGAGGCTTCAATATTTCTTGGTTCTTTTTGTGGAAATTTACTAAGTAGTTATTTTCTAAGTTATTCAAGTCCTCTTTGTATATATATAACTTCAACTTTAGCTGTGTTTCTAGCAATTTTGTATGTGATATTCTTTGTTAAAGAAGGTGTACATTCTAATGGTCGCACGAAAACGGTATACTTTTTAAACTTTTTCAATGAAATATTTTACTGAAACTATTTTTTTCAGGAAATGTTTTATGGGCTATTCGACTTTAGTTTAGTCAAAGAAATGTTATCAACTTGTTTTGAAAGACGAGCGAATTACGATCGGGCTATAATATGGCTTACTATGTTAAGTTCGGTTATCACTATTTTTATTATGGGTAAAAATGTATAAATAAGATATATGTATAAACTAGACACATAATATTGCGTTAAACATTTTAAGAGGGAAGTGGTACCGTGATGTATCTTTTTGCATTGGAAAAATTTAACTGGACTATAACAGAATATACTAGATATGACGCAATCGCTATCGCTAATTTGACAATTGGAAATGTTTTTGGAGTATATATAATGCAAAAGGTATTCGATTCTGGTTTTCAATTATATGTATGCCAGCTTATAAAAATTACAATCATCCTTCAGATTTTTAAATTTTCGGTTACAACCTTGGCTTTGCTAGGAATTGCGAGTGCTGTATTGGATTCAGTAGTTAAGGCAACAGCTACATACTCATGGGAAATGTATTTAGCAATGGCTCTTGGTATGTTAAGAGGCATCGCAGGTCCAATGAAGAGAGCAATTTTATCCCATGTTGCACCACAACATGATCTAGGTAAATGTAGAGCATATTCGTTTCATATGTAAGCAAAGCAATATATTAATCAATGCGTTTCGTTATGTTCAAGCATTTTTAAAACGTTTAACGATGTATGTTACAGTTATTGTAAGCTTAAAATATGCATATATTGTTTAAAACGTCGTCAAATCAATATTTTTAGTTTATTTATTTCTTTTATTATAAAAAGTATTCTTTATTTTCAGGGAAAATAATGTCTTTCACAGTATCTTTGGAATCAGTTTCTACTTTAGCTGCTGCACCATTGTATACCTTTATTTATACTTCAACTATTCAAACTTATTGCGGTGCATTTAACTTTTTTAGTACCGCCCTTTATTTTATATGCTACATTTTCATATCGTAAGTAACATAATACATATGTATGTAAATACAATAGGCTTGTCTGGGATAAAACTTGATAAAACTTTCAAAAGAGAAACAATAACGTAATTTCTCGCAAAAAGAAAAAAATTCTTATCTAAAAAAAATAACCATATAAAACTTTAAGCTTAGACCTATCTTGAAGTTTTGGTTGAATTGCTTGCCAGGTTCGGGTAGCCGCAACAGAAGTCCAAAGGCTAATTTTAAGTATTTGAAAAAATAATAAAGTCAGGTTCGTGAAACTTGGAAGTAGTATGTCCAATTATAGGTTAGATATGTATATTCTTGAAGTTTTGGTTGAATTGCTTGACAGGTTCATGTACCTGCCATACAACCCCAAAAGCCGATTTTAAATATTTGGAAAAATAGTAAAGTGTGATTCATTATAACTTGGTAGTCGTATGTCCAATTCTATAGAACGGTTTCACAAGTTCAAGTAATTACTTTACAACAATGAAAGGTGCAGGTATAATTCAATCGGTTTGTACCGACTGAAACGTTTTTACTTGTTTTATTTTATTTTTAATTGAAAAGTTTTGAAAAAAAGTTATTGTTCATGAAATTTTTTTCTTCAAATATAAAACCTGACATAATCAAGAAAAACATATGCTTCGGGAGCTGTAGGATTTTAAAAGTTTTTAAAAAACTAAATATTACTTTACAAAACTTGAAAAAACTTTAAACATTGACAAAATGAGAACATCGTTATTTTTGTTCAAAAATATTATTCCAGATGCTTTGCATGCAAACACTTTATAAAGTTTTACCAGACAGACCTAATGTCTGTACAAGTATATATACGGGTCTCAACTCAACTTACATATATATTTTGTAATGATTACATAATTTGAATTTCAAAGTGACATAATTAATTCAACATGAATAATGAAAAGTTAATAATGTTTACTATAATATCTACATGTGTAATTTATTTTTATAGTAATTTTTCGATTGAATGAATGTATTTGTGTAAAACAATTAATTTTTGGTTCATGTTGCAAATTTCAATATATGTATGTATATACATATGTATGTATTTGAAAAATTTCATATTGGACAGGTTTGAAGACATTTTTGTTGTTAACTATATACATACATAAGTATTTAAGAATTAAGATTACCTAACATTCTTTTTTTATTTTAAACAAACTTTTACAAAACGACCATTAATATTTTCTGAAATTTTTAAGACCCATCTTTCTGTTTTTGACTTATAACACATATAATGAATGATATACATTATTCATGCATACACACATACATATATAATGTACATATATACTTATTTTTATTATTAAAGAAATAAAAGCTTTAAATTTAACAAATGTATTAGGCGTTACAATGTGCACTTTGGATTTTATAATTACTTTAATAACAAGAAAGAGACCCAAAAGCAAATTGAATAAGAACAAAACTCATAAAAAATTTCTTTAATAAAATTTATTTTTAGAACTGTTTATGGAATTCAAAAAGTCAATTCGCTCAGTTCATATGAAACAATAAGTTAACAACTTTCATAAAAAAGGGTAAATTTAAGGATATCAACAGCTTCCATAAAATGTGGTAAATAGCTTTTCAAGTGCTTTACACAACTAAACGAATTTGCGGCTTTGTGACCAAAAATAAAACAAAAAATTTCAATATTACATAAGTATACACGTATTATGACTATACGTAATTATATATATATATATGTACATATATAAATAAATATTTGGGCTAATGAATTAACATTAGAAGTATTATTGCTGACGGGACTAAGCAGACGGCGAGTTTGATTTTGCGTAGAAAGATAAAATATCTTTTTGGTCCTTCAATTGGTCTGAAAAGCTCTAATAACTTGCGTAGAACTTGGGCGACTCTTTTCGCTAAGTTGAAATGGAGTACGGTACCCTTTTTTTTCTTTTTAGTGTTACTTAAAATACAACCCGCGTATAAGATATCAAATTTATTTTTTTTTTAGCCAATCGATCATCATTCATTTCAACAAACTCTCGTGCTTTGCTTTCAAAAACTCATCAAATGTGATGGGATATAATTTATACATACATATGTACGTACATTATGATTTCAATATGCATTCATATGTACATATATATATTCAAATTATATTTGTATGTATGAATGTGTTAAATTATAAGTAAGTAATCTCAAATTTCAACATTGATTTTATTCTGAAAACTACACATATAATATAACAGATCGTATAATCATAAAAAATATCTTCTTCATTAAAAAACGGTCACTCCTTATGAAAAATGTACTTTCATATATGAAACGTATTTTATAAAAAAGTGTATGTAATTACAGATGTAATTTAGGTTCCTACAACGGTACAACGTAAAATTTTTGTTGAAAAATAAACTTTTTTATTCAAACACATGCAAGTATTTGTTAACAAAAAACAGGAAAAAAATTCAACATAAACATACTCGTATTTAATGAATTCAATTATCTAACTTAAACTCAAAATTTTAACTCAATCTAATTTCAACTCAAAATTTTAACTACAATTTTGATTAAATATATTTTCAAGTTTTTTCCGCATTTGCATGTTCCATGTACAAAATGATGCGAAAAAATGTGATATACAGTGAATATAAAAAAATTTGCTGGTATATTTTTTGTTCAGAATACTTGACTTAAAATAATGTTACTTAATGAAAATTTTATTAGATTTTAATTTCAGTTTGTAATTGTTTGATTTTAAGTTTTATAATTATTAAAGTCCTTTTAAAATTTTATAATCATTATAAAAGGTGCGTCGTTTCAAGATGTCGTCTATATAAAAACAAAAGGATTTCGTACAATCGTACAACTTTATTTCATATAAATTGTAAAAATCGTACAACTTTTATTTGATGATTCCGAACAAACTCAAACATAATGAAAATACTATAAAGATACTTGTATAAGTTTTAAAGTATCTGATGCGCTAGTTAAGGTAAATCAGTGAATTAACCTTGCTAACATTATGAAAATATTTCTTAATAAAACTTTGTCACATACATACCTAACAGAAAAGATAAAAACAAAATAGATAATATAGAGAAATAAAGACGAAATAGAAAGACAAGAAAACGATAAAAAATTACACAAAAGTCTAGATCTAAGAGTACCCTTACTAATAGCAGGATCTAATGCCAAAGAATTAGAATTAACAGAATGCAACATTCTAGTGACCGGCTCATTTCTACCATAGTCATTAGAGTGATTGCGAACATTGTACAACTCAACAGACCTAAGATTCCTTACGTTATCCCTAATGGAAACCTGTCCTAACAATGAAGGAGCCGCAATGACTATAATATACACTATATTAGCGACAACCCTACGCGGCCCCAAGGACTACAAATCGATCCACATCGGCCTAGCTTGATAGTACGGCAATCTAAAAGGATCAGACCAGCCCAAACCTCTCAAAGCAAAACGTAAAAATTTCCTCTGAACAAATTCAATACGAGAAATACCCACAACATAAATGGGCGCCCGAACCTGACAATCATTCTCAAGAATTGGCCTAACAAAGAACCCATACAAATGCTTCGCAACATACGGGTCAATAAACTCTCCAGCCCACCTCATTACGAAACCCAACTTTGAATTACCCCACCAAGGATCATATTCAAATCAGCAACAAAATCAGCCTCCGATCAGGCATAACCTTAAGTTCATAAAAAGTGTTCACCCTCCTCAACACCACCTTGGTAAGGCAATAATCTTCCCGGACAACAGAAGACTCGCTCCACTGCGAAAACCTCCTAACCCAACACTTACCAACGTTAAGTTGCAAGTCATTGACCTGACACCAGTCCCAAAAACTATCCAAATCCCTCTGCAGTTCTAGACAATCAACCTCCGACCGAACCGCCATCTTGGAGTCATCTGCAAAACTATAAAGCGCGGAACCCACAACAGAACTGAAAGCGTCGTTAGTCGGGACTGAAAGAAGTATGAGACCCAAATGGCTACCCTGTGGAATATCCGACTCGGCACAGTGGACATCAGACAAAGCAGAACGGAAAGAAACTTGATAAAACCTGCAAGTCAAATAGGAATAGACCCATATCAAGCTACGAAGAGAAAAACCCGCGCCAGCCAACTTTCAGTATAATCTGATGCGGAATCCCACCAACATCTGTAAAAATAATATCGACCTGGTCACCCCCCTCCATAAATTGGTAACAACAGATCTACCCCTCTGAAAACCATGCTGGCCGGAATGCATAAAAGCACCACAAAAAGAGTAGAAGTAATCAACGAAAATACCTTCAAAAGGTTTCGAAATAGCTGACTTCTTGACAATAGGCCTATAATTACTAGCAGAAAAACGTAAACCTTCTTTATGAACCGGAACAACGTAGGACTCCTTCCAAGCCGAAGGAAAAATAGAAAACGCCAACGATAGGTTAAATAAAAAAGCAAGAGGACCAATGGCTACCAGCACATTTAGATAATACCACACCCAGAATCCCATCAGAACAGCGCATTTAGATAATACCACACCCAGAATCCCATCAGAACTAGGAGACTAGTCTTCACCCAATCTCTCCATGGCGCCAAGAACGCAATCAGGCCCCAGCCTGCTATCAAGAACAAAATTATCAACAGGTGCACCATCAATATTCACAAATGCAGCAAAATCTGGAGACAGACTACGCACAACATTAATCGAGCAAAAATACTCGAAAAGTGGCAAGCAAACAAATTTGAAATAACCAGAGGATCACTAGAAGGTCTACCAGAAAAATCGAGGGAGGATGGATAACCATCAGACTTATTCTTAGAATTGACAAAATCAAAAAACTTTCGCGAATTGCCAAACATACTACGCCGAACATCATTAAGATAAGTCAAGCAAAACCTGGCATAATCCGTCGAACACCTTGAAACTACAAAGGCCTGTCAAGTAGAATTCCTAACATTCCTAAGACGCCGCAACTCAGGAGGATACCAAGACACACAAATAAAACTTGCGCACACAATCGTCAAGACTCGCACCAGCCAAAAAAATAGATTCAAACTCAACCGAGTGCAACAAATCATTCAATAACCCAAAATCAGCCCTACAGAAATTAAGTTGAAGCCCTCTTCCCCCGGGACGTAACAGCAGAACCAAACATTCCGACAGGAAACATAATAGAGACAGGCGGATGGTAATCATCAACTAAAAATAAAATAACCAAAATGGTTTTTTCACCTTTTTCACCTTTTAAAAATAAAAATTTTCGGTTCTTGGTATAACCAAAAAATATTTGTTTGTTTAATAAATCCTTTGAAATTCGATGTTTATCACCTATTTATAAAGATTTTAAAAATTTTTTCAAATTTTCCGTCTGGTTAATTTTTTTTTTGAAATGACAATTTTTTTTTTTGCAAGAAATCACGTCATTGTTTTCTCTTTTTAAAGTTTTTCCAAGTTTTATACTCGTGTTCATGTAGGATTAGCCAAAACCTAAGATAATGTCATCAGGCCACCAAGCTCAGAAACAAATCAAAAATAAATTCCAAATTTATATGGAGTTTAAATAGGAGGGGTGTCGGAATGTATTTGTGTGAAGAAAATTATTCAATATTTTTGGCTCTACTGATTCTACATATTTTTTGAAATTTTAAATTTAAATTTAAAAAAAATCGGTTGGTAAATTCCATCTGAAAAATGCATTCAAAAAAAAAATTGTGATTTTTAATGCAGGCAACCTTTCTTGTCTTCCAAGTGGAAGGGTACTGAATTACAGTAAAATTTTTCAATAAAAAATAGAATTTAAAAATAAATTGAAAAAAAAAAGCAAAAAATAATTATTATAATCTACGTAGTTTTTAAAACTATACTAAATAAAATGAGAATCATGAAGAATACTCACAAATTTCACAAAAAAAATAAAAAAATATTTCAATCGGCATATTTCGAAAACATAAAACATTAAGAATTGTTTTTGTAATTTTTTCCGATTAAAAATTTCGGAAAATAATTTCAACTTGGTGGCCTGATAGATATAAATGGCATTACCAAAGATCATATATTTAAATATATGGTCTTTGCCAAAACAGTACAAATACACTAATTTGAACAAATATGTACCTGATCTCCGGTAGATGGAAATAGTATTTTTAAATAACAATAGATGGATTGTTTTTTTTTTGGGAGATTTTGACATTTAATTGTAATATTATTATTTGAAATGTCTTGTCATACTAAATTTATACTGGAGGAAAAAAATTAAGCTATGTACTAAATATAAAAAAATGGTTACACCAAAAAAATTAAGATTATGTTTTACGCATATTGTTAATAATAAATTTACAAACTATGTATATGAGCTCATGAGTATTTCGAACGCGTATATTAGGTCTGTCTGGTATAAGAAAAACTTTTATAAAGTTTTTGCATGCAAAGCGTCTGGGATAATACTTTTTGAACAAAAATGAGAGAAAATTATGACATTCTCATTTTCCCAATGTTTAAAGTTTTTTCAAGTTTTGTAAAGTAAAGTTTAGTGTTCTTCTTAAAAACTTTTCAAATCTTGCAGCTGTCGAAACATATGTTTTTCTTGGTTATATCAAAAGATTTTATTTTTGAAAAAGAAATTTTCATCAAAAATAACTTTTTTTTTCAAAACTTTTCAATTAAAAATAAAATGAAATGACCAAAATTAGTTCATAAATGTTTTTTTCTAAATTTCACACTTTTGTAATCCAAAATCAAAATTTTTGGTTTTTATTATAACCGAAAAATATTTGTTGTTTGATAAATACTTTGAAATTTGACGTTTATTACATATAAAGTTTTTAAAAGTTTTCCGTCTGGTTTATTTTTTTAAATGACAATTTTTTTTCTTTCTAAGAGAAATTTCGTCATTGTTTCTCTTTTTTCAAGTTTTATCCCAGACAGACCTATTGTGTGTAAAATTAGCTAAAAGATTAAACATTCTAAAGTTGAAATGGCAACATTTGACTGCTTTAAGTGAAGTTTGTATTTGACTTCTTTTTGCCTTATTATTTTGGTTTTTTTTTTTTGAAAAAATCGATTGTTGAGGTTTAATGATATTATATTTACATATATTTATATTTTGCTATATTTGAAAACATTATATTTAAAAGTTTTTATAAAATAAAAGCAGACTGGAAAAGCTGATAAATTTTGATAAATTAAATCTAAATGTTAACGAGCAGTTCTTTTAGTCGTGAAAAATTTTCAAAATTTTGAAGAAAGAAACAATCATCGATTTTTTTTTCTAAAAATGAGTATGCTACATTATGATTAAAAAATATTTAAAACTGTGTATTAATTTGTTTATGTTTTAATTATAGAAAATATGATTTACTAATTGAAGGAAAATTATTTTTTGTAGATGATGAAAAAAGTGAACAATTCGTTTTAGATTTATCTAAAAAATGTCTGAAAAAAGTTCCAAAGCAAGAGGATGCACAAAACTGTCGAGTTCTGATATTAGATGACAACGAACTGCAGAAAATAGATAATATTGATTCATATCTTAGAATTGAAAAGGTATAATAGTAATAAGCAAAAACAAAATTCTGAGAGCTAATAAATTACCAAATATATTTGCAATTCATTTAAACCTTTTTCTTTCTTTAATTGAGGTTTTTATATTTCAATTTTAAAAAATTTGTTCCGATTCTTATAAATATCGTAATAGGAAAAACTTATATAATATTTTATCACAAACATTTTTAGCTATCACTTAGTAAAAATCAATTACTTCGTATGTATGGAGTTTGTAGACTGCAGCGTTTAAGAGAGCTTAATTTATCCTTCAACGGAATTTTAACAATTGAAGGATTAAAAGAACTAATACATTTACAGCACTTAAATCTAGAAGGAAATAATATTAAGACCATTGAGCACTTAAGCACTAACACGAAATTGGAATACATTAATTTGTCAGAAAATAGTATTGGCAGTATATCTGATATTTCATATTTAAAATCATTAAGAGTAAGTTTTTGTAAAGTATTACAAAACAATATATTCGTAAAGTATTACTAAATATAAAATATATACGTACATACTTGTATATTATATATTTAGTCTTTTATTTTAAAAAACAAAATGAATAAAATCCAAAATTGTATTGTTAGTCAAATTATAAAATTTTTATTTTTCAGGAACTTTATCTTCATGGAAACAGGATTTCTCATTTGAGGCAATGTGATAAATATTTGCCAACGTCGCTTGAAATACTGACATTAGCAAAAAATTCTATAACAGATCTAAATGAAATTTGTACTTTAGCCAATTTGAGTAATTTACATAGTATAACCATAGGTGAAAACCCTTGTGTTCAAATGACTGGTGGAACTGAGTGAGTATCGTAAATTTTAATGATTAGTGTCAATTTTCGATTTTTAATTGCAGTGGTTTTGATCATCGGCCATTTGTTTTAAACTGGTGTATGAGTGTAAAAGTAATTGATGGTTTCATGGTAGACCCAATTGAAAGGTAAAATTGTTAGATTTGAATTGACAAATATTTATATTTTCCTTTTGGTAAATTTTTTTTTTAAATTATTAACAATAAGTCTTATTAACGATATAGTTTAAAAGCGGAATGGTTATTTAGTCAAGGAAGAGGAAGACAATTTAGGGTTGGAGAACAGATGGCTCTGGCAAAGTATCTTAGTTCTGTTTGCCCTTTGTTAGGCAAGGCTTTAGAAAATGAAAACGAGAGAAAGCTTCGTTTAATATTGAGCAAAGCACAACAACACCAACGTCAATTGCAAGAGGAAATTTCTGATAATCTAAATACATCCGGGGGAAATTCTCCTTCATCAGGACGAAGAAAACAAACAACAAGTAGAATTCAGTCGCCAAGATGTAAGTAACTTTTTCTTTTTCTACGTATAATCAAATTTTTAGGGAACATACAAAAATCAATAGAAGCAAGTTTTGAAAATTCGTAAATTCACAATTTCGTTAATTTTATTTTTATTATACGATTAAATTCAATTTTCATATCAAAATTTTAAAGTTTACTTATGTTAGTTTCTAGACTTGGTACTCGTCAAGGATCTCCAGATTCAATGTCTAATAGTTACCATGGAAACACTTCATCCCATTCTATGGCATGTAACCAAAGTGATATACGTAAGTAGATCTGAAATGAAATTGGTGAAAATCGAATTAAATATAATTTAACTATTTAGATACTAATCAAAATCACATGTTGCAAATGACAACGTCGTTAATTGAAAATATTAAAAATGATTCAATAATGACACAAAGCTTAGACATAAGCCTAACAGGCGGTAATTGTGCTATTATTTCGAAAAATCATTGTACAAACTTTTCACAAGAATCCACCCCGAAGTTAAATACACCGAACCAGTATAATGGTAAATTTTGTTTTGCAATGTGTACTTCGTCGATTATAATTCTTTTTAAATTTCAAGATCAAAACTCCGTATTTCCTCTTGGTGGTCCTTTGGCTGCTGCCTCAAAAATGGTACCAGTGCCTGAAACTTTAATGAGTCCCGACTGTTGCCCGACCTCTGTAAACCAAAAAGTTATGAATACACAAAATTTGAATTCAAATACAAAAGTAGTTAAAAATAAAGGTAAACATTTTGAATATTTTGACCTTTTTACAAATAAAAGACATCTTTTTTGCTTCAAGAAAACAAGTCAAATTCCCCAAAGATAAGTAGAAATGCACATTTGCGACGAAATAGTGAAAAAAGTCCAATATTGAGCCCAAGAAAAATAAATACAGCCCTTCAAAGCAACCAAAATATTAAGTTATTAGCTCTAGATAATCAAGAAGTAAGGACACGCAATTTTCAAAACTCTATTCACATGACACCGCCAGATGGATCTGGAACTTTAAGTTCTGACGACGATAGTGATCACATTAACGTAGACAAGCTGAAAACAATACGAAATAAGGCAGCACAAAGGTAATGTATTCCGAAAAATTTAAAATTTCTTAATATTCGTTCATTAGTAATATTTGAAATTGTTTTACTGTTTCTATCCAACAGAAATAAAGAACAAAAAGATGTTTTGTCTATAAATCTTATGGAAGATGTTGAGCCCTCTGTTATATTGATACAAAAGACATGGCGTGGCTACAAGTCTCGAAAGGATACGAAAGATATTGCAGAAAAATTATTGAAAAAGAGAACTATAGAATACATAGAGTAAGATTATTTTTAAATTATTTTTAATAGCGATTTTTTGAAAACAGTTTTTCAAAGGAAATTAACGAAAGATATGGAATTAACCAAGGCACAGTTAGAAAATGAAAGGAAAATTCAACAATTACAAATGCAAGCTATAAACGCTTTATGGAAAAAAGTTTCTAGTATGCAAAGCTCCACAAATATAGTTGGGAAAGAAAGTTCAGAAAATGGTTTGTTAAGTGAAACTCATAAAGAAGGTTCAACGTCGACTCAAGTCATATCTCTTGACAATAATACAACAGCTGTAGTGACTGATCTTGCCAAAACATGTGCTATGCTAACTAATCAAGTAACAGTTTTCTTATTATTTTTTAGAGCATTTAAAACACATTTTTAAAATTCGTACAAAAATTTTAGGTTCAACAACTGCAAGGCTCAATGAGAGATATTTTAAACTGCATGTCATTGTTTTGTAACCTGCCTCATGAAAGCTTAAAAAAAATTATAAATGAAGATTGTAAAGATTCAGCCGCAACCCAAACAGAAATTGTTGCCGTTCATACACCACAGCTTGAAAATCAAAGTTTCTTGTCAAAAGTAAGGCCATCATCTCTTCCGCTTTCGTCAGATCAATCAACAAATTTACTTATTTCATGTGGAAATACAGTTAATTCGATGGGAAATGGGAAATTGAAAAAAAGCGATAATAAAATTGAAGAAAGCATGCAGTTGGAGAAAAGTGATGATATTCATGAACAAAATGAAAAAGATAAAATGGAAAACGAAAACCCAAACAATTTCCAAGAAGATTTTAACTGAAATGCAATGATTTATAAACTTGAATCACAAATTTGATAAAATTTTCCTAAAAAACGTTTTTGATCTCTAAAAGCTTTATAAAGCGCATATACGCTATTTTAAGAATTTGCTACATAATAATATATGTTATGAAGAAACAAGTATTTCAGTTTCTTTTTAAATGAAAAAGTTTTTTTTTGATTATTGTAAGGTATTATTTATGAGAAAAAATGTTTTTTAAGTTTACTTTAATTAGTTTCTGTTTCGAATTATGTATGTATTTAAATTGTACTTGTTACACACAGATATCAAACTGAGGAAAAATTTGTACTGATTTTAATTTGATTCCTTTTTTTAACATGAAGTCCTTAGTTAAGAATTTTGAAGTTTCATGTCTACAAAAAAAATCTTTTCTCAGTGAATTTAATAAAAACTATGCTTTGGAAATAAAGTCGTTAATTTTTAAATCAATTTGTTTAAATAAAACGATATACTAAACTAAAAAATGATTATTGTACCATTCAATTACCTTTACTATTATATCATTGCCTGCTTTACTAGGTACCTTTTTATTCTTATATCACAAAAGAAAATAGTATATCAAAGATATATTTTTCTTTTTCTCTTTACTTAATAAGTGAAGAATTAGATGGATAAATTTTAAAAAAATTTAAATTTATTTTACAATATTTATGTTTAAAAGATTAAACGAAAAAACAAGTTTTACCTAAAATAAATTTTTTGGACTCTGGAAAGATTGGAAACTTATGCTATGAAAAAAAATTTGTATTATGCATTATCACATGATGACGAATCTGACCCTTCATCGATTGGTGGTCTATTTTTATTTTTAACAACAAATCTTTCGTCATCGCTCCCATCTGAATAATTTTCTTCGGAATGCTCGCGCTTTTTAGTAAATTTTTTTGGCCAAATTCCACTTTTTGAATATTCTTTAATATGGGTTGCAGTTAATATTTTGACTATTTCACCCTTTACTTTGTCACCTTCTTGAATTGGCTCAATTACCACAAAATCACCGCGTTTTATCCAAATGTTGTTACGAAATTTATTTGGCATGGATATTAAGAAATTTTCTGCATCATGTGCTGGTTCAGCTTCGTGTAAATTATTTCCCTTACTACATACAATTCTTACAATTTGTTGATTTTCTTTTGGTAGCTCATAGTCGTCGTTCATCATTTCATACATGTAATGTTTTTGTCTAGTTACACGAGACATTGCTAATAGTCCTAAATTAATCTAAAAAAAAAAAAAGAAACACAACTGAAAAATTTATAATATTTGTGCACATAGATATATGTATATATATATGTAACTAGGAGAAAATGGTCAAAAAAATATTTTAATAAAATGCTAGATATTTAATAAAAATATACATATATTTTATTTTCTTTAATTTCTACAAAAATTATCTATGCACTTAAGGTGTTGAAATTTAGTTAACTTAAGTTCCCCGTAATCCGCTGTTTATACACATGTATTTTTAATAAATATGCAAATAAATAGAATTCCTAGGACCAAACTTCTTCTTGATAACGACCACTTTTAATTAAAACTTCTTCAAAATAATTAGGATTGCCAAAAATTTCACAAAATACTTCTCTTACTTGCTTAGGCATGTTATTTGAACTTCCAGCTACAAGAATAATCCCATTTTTCAACAATATTATATCACGAAGCGTATCTTGTTGCTGTTTAATCAAATGTTGGACATATACCTTATGTTCCTGATCTCTAGAAAATGCGTAATAAAATTTTGCAATATTTCGTTGTTCGAGACGTGCAAAATCATTTTTAAAATAAAAATCTTTAAGTCTATTTCGGCATCCAAAAAATACAATAATTTTTCTTCTATCCTTATGGGGTAACAGTTTTATTTCATGTTCAACCTTTATAAGATAATTTCTAAATGGAGCTATGCCAGTTCCAGGACCAATTAACACTAATGGTGTGCTGTCATTCGGAATATTCATTGTACCCGATCGAATACATCCAAGTACTTCATCATTAATACGTAGGCTTTTTAGCCAATTAGAGCACAGACCTTTTCTTGGTTCTTTCAAAATTGTTTTGTACTCTACCACTGCTACAAGAAGACGTAAAGAACCTTCCTCAGGGCAGGATGCAATAGAAAATGATCTAGTTTTGATAACATCAAACATTTCAAATAAAATAGGTAGTGTAATCTGTGAAGTAGCATGTGGAAAATCGTTTAACACTTCTAAAATATTTCTCCTTGGTCGAGAAGCATATTTTATCATTTCATCTAAACCTTCAGCAGAGCACAATTCTAAAAGTTTTTCTTTTTCTAGTTCATCAGTACAATTGACCGATAGTAGTTCAAATGTCTTTTGCCTAGCAACTGCAGTTAAATCCCAAACATATTTAGCGGCTGATTCGATGAAAAGACCCTGACGGTAACAAATTGGAACCTCCATCTCTTGATCTATAGTTTCACAACTAACAAATGTTTGACGTTTTATAGGAACTTTGTTCTCTGAAAGGATTTCAAAAAATTTGCTAACTACTTTATCACAATTCCAAGGACGTACATCAAAAATATCAAATGGTTTCCAAATGACATTTGATGGATACCTAAATTTGATGTGGCGAACATCTTGAAAATGATCCTTTGTTGTTGCTCTATAGTTTTGAATTAATTTAAAGTTAGAAAATTTTTTATTATAAGGCCATTTTAAATATTCCAAGTTTAAATTTTGGTCTTGAATATTATTTCCTACTTCAATAATTTTCAGTTTAAAAACCGATTTTGTCACTTGCTTCGTAATTATATCAATTTGTAAAATGTTCCAAAATTCTTTCATCCATGAAAAGTATGTTGCATATAGTCCGTGATCATGTTGATCATCACAAAGCCCTAAATGAAGTAAAGGTTCTGCAGACAATTGTACAAGGCGCTTAAAAAGCCTTTTCGCCACAAAATTAAATTTAATATAACTGGAGTCCCCTAATCCTAGCAAACCAAATTTCATATGCGCTAGTGAGTTATTTGGCAATGATTTTCTGCACAAAAACTTCCAAAATTTCTTCATATTATCTGGCTCATCCCCTTGCCCTGTAGTAGCCACTACGAATAGTACTAATTCTTCATATATAAGATTTTCAATTTTATATTCATCTAAAGGTAATACTGGGCCAGAAAAATTATATTGTTTGGAAGTTCTCCATATATTTTCAGCTATGTCTTGTGCAGTACCTGTTTGACTTCCATATAATATCAACAAGCGCATTTTATATTTAAATTAATTTTGTTAGAAAAATAACACTTACTAAAATTTTAAACGCAGCACTTGTTTATTTTTACAGGGTTTTTTGTTATTTTGCTAAAAAATACTTTTTTATTTATGGTATTCATATGAAAAATACGCACGTGCAATTTTAAATGTCAATGTGTGGGAAAAATAATTTAAGTGTAAAAGCAGGACCAAAGTGGTGAACGGTAACGGTAACGGCAACGGCAGACGATTTGGATCTCTGATGTTAATACAAAACAGAACTTAAACGGCAAAATCAGCTGCTCAGAATTTAAATATGATTACTACGTTTATATATAGTTTGAAGCCGACTTCAGGTGAATTTTGACCTCATATAAACCCTTCTTACCTGGAAATTTTTAAATCGATCTCATAAAATTATTAGCTTAACTTGAAAATCGACTACATATACGCGGATTGAAAGATTAAAACTTGCTTGTCATGTCAGCTAAGGTCAAATTCAAGTTGATTTCAAGAAATATTATTTCAATCTGTATAGTATATATGTACGTAAATTAAAATTTTTAGTCAAGCACTCGGTTCGTCGTATAAAAAGAATAAATTTCACACACATGGGAAATCAAATTTCATGGGAACAAACGATGACCAAAAAACACGAGCAGTTAAATAGGATGAAAGCAGAACAATAGCGATGTTCCGTGACGAAATGTCAAATTTCATATTACTATGTGTGTTTGACATTATAATAAATGCAAAATGGTGAACAACTGATTTCCCGGTTTCGCTGTTGTTCTTTGTTAGTAATTGGAATCAGTCGCTGTTTTCGTTTTCCGCTTTGGTTCTACTTTTATACTATGTAACCCCTGTTAAAGTACTCAATAGCAATTGCAAACAGCTCGATGTTAGACTAGGTTTAAAGATTTTCAAGGTCCTCTGAATATCATTGATGTTTGAATATAAGATGTCATCGGGAAAAAATTTTCTTCATAATCTTAAAACTTTAATATTTCATTACTAACAGCTACGTGTTTACAATACGACTTTAATGTTAAACAAAATGTGTACGCCGAGATATTCATCAAAAATACGAATAAAAAGAAATAATCGTGTGTTAAACTGAACGCGTCAGAAGAGCAGATAAGTTTGTTATGTTTTGAAATGCTATCTCATATAGTATAAATAATATATTAAATAATTTTTGTCAGTATGACAAAATTATATATATATAATTGCCAAAACTTACGTCTTCGATAAGTTTTGACATGTTCTTGACACATTTATTTTTGTTAGCATTTTCCATAAATGCAGAAAGCTAAAGATAAATGCCGTGTCATTAAAAAATGTAATTATTTTTCTTAACTCACACAATTAACCCTTAAATTCGAGCATTATGTTAACGCCTCTTTAATTTGTTTTTGTTGTATTTCAAAGTTTTTGCTTATCCCAAATGTATGGAATATTTAAAATATATTCGTATATGAATGAAAGTAATTTTAATAACGTAGCACATAGATTGTTTCAAAAGCAATATTTTCGCTTGGTGAAGGGAAAAGTACTACATTACAAACCATTGATTTGACACAACTTTATTATTCTTATACCTAAGCAGAAAACTTTTTTCAAAATAAATAAATGAATAAGTATATGTATTTTAATGTTAATTTATACTGGTAATCCACTATTCATCTTGGTAGTTAAATATGTTGAAAAATTTTGTTCAACTTAGCCTCATAAATTTAAAATTTATTTAGACTTTCATTTTGTTTAAAGTGATCAACATTATCCATTTCCAATTTGTTAATTTGTTTTCATCTAGAAAAAAGATAAGGTCAATAATAAAAAATTCCTGAAGTAAATGTAGGTTAGTCATAAAACTTAGTAGGTTAGTTTTGGAAAAACCAAAGTATATCTACTCAAGAAGTAATTCGACTCGTTTCATTCCGTTAGTTTTCGTTTTTGAGAATTTGGAAGCTTGGTACTTCCAAATTTTCAAAATATTCCATTTTTAGTTAGAAATATGTAGATGTGTTTATTTAGAATAGATAATAAGAGTTGTGTAGGCAAGAAAGAAACAAAATATTGTAAACAAACGAGTGTATCAAAAACATCGAACTGAAGTAAAATTGAATTAAGTTAGGTAAAAATTTTTTTTTTTCATTTTGATAAAAACAAAATTTATTTTTCATTTCATAAAAGTCAAGTAAAAAAATTCATGTATTGATATAAAAATAAGGCAACTTGTAAAGAAAAAAATGCGTATATAGGAAATTATGTGTTTTAAATTTATAAAGACGAGATTGAAATAAAAACAAATATATATTTATATCAAATGTATATAATACCTGCCGATTGGGCCACGAAATATCTGTAGTAAGGTATACTTATGGTAAGATTCTACTAAAATCCAATAAAAATCCAGGCGCGACGGACTCACGATGAGCGGCTTTCTGATCTCCGGCTTAACCCTGAGGGACGGCCGAAATTATATGTGCTGCCTTGCACGAGGGAATTATTCTCAAAGGCTAGAAGAAGAAGAAAACTTCGAAATAAAACAAAACATAAGGATTGTATACCCCAGGTGGTAATCCAGTAATACTGGAAAATCCACACTCTTCGGAGGCTGGTCTTATGGATTCTGGAGGAAACTACTTATTGCATAGTAGATCGGCGCTATGGGTTCTGATAGACCCATTTGCCGACAAAAATGACAGAGTTAAGGATGATAACTCCGAAATAAAGTGCAATAAGTCTACAGAAGACAAAAAAATAAAAATCCAAGAGGGTAGTATGGGAAAGCATCTTATACGGGAGAGTAAAAGGATCCTCAGGACTGGAGAATGACCGAGTTAAAGAGCTTTGGTAAGGTGCTGCAAAACGAGATCTGCAAATTACAAACAGAGAATGTAAATTTAAAAAGTAAATACAATATACATCAACAGAAAAGAAGAACAAAGATACGGAAGTTATTGTATATGAACCGACGAGGAAGAGCTGGCTAGAGAAACTGACTGGATCCAAATTCAAAAGAATAATGCAAAGAAGCGAAAAATGGAAAAGTCTCCTGAAATAAATTCAGAGAAGACAGTTAAAAAAAGTAATGAAACCAGCCCTAAAATGAAGGCTGAAAATTCAAGGAAGCACAAGTCTCCTCCGGTTATATTGAGCAACATTAAAAACTACTCCCCCATTGTTAAGATATTAAAAGAAGAAAAAATAAACGTTAGGGTCAACATTACGACTAATGACCGATTAAAAATAAATGTAGAGAATGTAAATGAGTACAGATTGCTAAGCAAAGCTGTAAATAAGGCTAAGCTGGGGTGGCACACGTATGAAAATAAACTGACAAGGCCAGTTTAATCTCATATCTTTCGACGATTCGGAAGAGATAACCAAAATCTATAAAATAGAATACTTACAGCATATGAGATTAAAAATTAAAGCTCTTAGAAGCAGGAAGTCCATTCCGCAATGTAAAATATGCCAGAGATTTGGAAACATACAAAAGTTTTGCCAAAGAGAGACTAAATGTGTAAAATGTGCTGGTAATCATATGACAGCAGAGTGCAACAAGAAGGATAATTTTCAGTCAAAATGTGCGAACTGCAATGAGGCCCACCCTACTAGCTATCGAGGTTTTTTGGTTGCAAAAGAATTGCAAAAAAGAAGATTAAGAAAGAGTAAATCCAAACAAAAACAAAAATGAAAAGAACTGATGCAGACATTGTGACATCTAAAAGATTATTAAAAATAGAAAATAAATACACTGAGGTGTATACGGGGACACCAAAGAAATTAAGAAAAGATGTACGTAAATGAAATACGTATAGTAACTTGGAATGCTAATGGTGTTCTTAATAAAACACAAAATTTAGAGACTTTTCTTCAAACGGGAAATATTGATATTTCTTTGCTGTCAGAGGCTTATTTGACAGGATCAAAGTGTTTGTGCTGTATACTGTCCACTGAATTGCAGCATTAAGAACAATACTTTTAAGGATCTCCTGTACAAACATGGACGTTGATAGCTAATGGGAGGTGACTATAATGCGAAACATACAAATTGGGGTTCTAGAATCATCTAAACTAGAGGAAGACAGATAAGAAAAGCTATTCAAGAACAGGGTTGTTGCTATCACTCCACTGGCACTCCTACTTATTCGCCTACTGACACTAACGAGATTCCTGACGTTATTGACTTTTTTATACCTAAAAAGATATGAGAAAACTGTCTAAGCCTATTAAGATAATTATGATTTTAATTGATAGAATATTATGTAAACTCACTTTCACAAGTAGCACTACGGATTGGGCGCGCTTTAAATACGAAATAATAAACAATATTGACGTAAATATTAATATACAATTAAGAGAACAATTAGATCTTGAGTTAGAAGAATTCTACGACCTTGTCAAAAAGAGACTAATTAAGACCAATTAGGCACGCTCCGCCACTGAAAAAAGCAAATGGCAGCTGGGCGAGTTGTAATATAGAGGAAGCCGAATTTATTGCTGATCACTTAGAAAGCATATTCACACCAAACGGAATAACATCAGATGTGAGTTTAGTAGAATTTATCGCAAATGAAGCAAGCAGCATAGCTCCACTTACTCAAATAGAAATTGCGGAAGAGATAACAACTCTGAAGCTGAAAAAATGTCAGGTTTTGTCTTATTACTGCGGAGGTACTGAAAGAGCTACCAGACGAGGCATTGAAACATGTGATGAAAATCATGAATGCAGCTATAGATCTTGAGTATGTTTTTATTGAGTAGTAATACAGAAGATGCTCGGCTGCCAGACAACGGCGTTATGACAGAAAGACTTAAACGAACAACACCTTTCGATTTAACGCAAAATTCCAATTTCCTTATGTAAGTTATTTAATTCCTGTACGGATACACCAAGTTAGCGCAGAGGTCGTTGGTCTGTAGGACCAGTTTTATTCGTTCAGAGTTTAGGTGATTTTTTAGGACAGGTATCACGCCCTTCGAAAAAATAAGAAACTTCGGCTTTTAAAAATACATTATAAAAAAACAGGTAGACGTCTATTGCGTACTGTTTGCCTCTCCGAAAAATTCCTATGTGTATAAAAACGAAAAGATGAAGGTATGATGCTTAAGTCTTTTAACTCGTGATGTATACGGAGAGTCGAACTACTTTTTGGGTTGATA